CTATGACACTTTAGCGGCAGAACTAGACTTGTGGCGGGAAAATGGAAGCAGCTACCTGCAGTCGACCGACCTAAAAAACGCCATCGAAACGATAATCGGAGTGTAACCGGTGTATATTTCCAAATATATACATTTTATTAATGATCCTAGCAACTCTACTAGCGTCAACAGCTACACCAGAAGGTCTTTTTCAACCCTAATGCCGCAACCGCGCATGCGGTATTCGGCGATCTCCGATCGGGGCTTCGCCGATTTCCTATGTTTGTGGATGAGGAAGTCGGAGTTCGGCGACTCGATCGGCTACGAGCAGAAGCGCTCATCTCTATGTTGTTGCTATCAGAGCCCGCATGTGTGGATGGAAAGGCGAAGTCCGATCACGAGCGTTCGGTAGTTGATGAGCGCTCGGAGTTCGCTAAATGTCGCATGTGCGGTTGCGGCATAAGACGATTGAAGGACTTCCTACGTAACTCTACAGGTCAGGAGCGATTGACAGGACTTGCTCTATTAAGCGTACATAGAGAAATAAATATCGAAGAGGTAGTCAATCGTTTTTCCAGGGAAAAGACCAGTTTATCCTTTAAGATTAATAATTTTTACCTGTTACTTTTTTAAAATTTTATTTTCATTTAAGATTTGAGTATAGCAAAGCGATTTTTTTATTATGCTTTTTTCCTAGCAGCTTTTGTACCCCCCAAGGCCAAACCCCCGAAATTTTGGTCTAGATACGGCCCTGGGGCTGGTAGATCTCGATAAAAGAAACATATTTTCTCTTTACCATTTTTCAGACAAGTCCAAAATAACCGAGTTTATATCTGTACTAATATATAAAATCCTTAAGTGACTGACATGCTGATTAATCACGATCCTGCTCAAACCACTCAACGTAAGAAGCTCAATTTTGGCATACAGGTTGATTCTAGGGTGTAGAGGTTCGATAAGAAGGGATTTTTCGAAATTCCACTTCCAAGAGGGTGAAACCACCCCTCAAATATTACAATATTTTTTATTTAAAAAACGGACAAGTTTCCGAAAAAACGCTTAAACAAGTATATTTTATTTTGTTTTTTACATATTTTAAGATTTTTTAAAAATGTATACAGGGTGTTTCGAAAAATCTGGTCATTGATCAACCACGATCCTGCTTAAAGCGGTTGACGTAAAAAGCTGATTTTTAGAAAATAGATTGGCTTTAGGGTTTAGAGGTTCGATAAGAAGGGATTTTTCGAAACTCGAATTCTAACAGGGTGAAACTATCCCTCAAATATTAAAATCTTTTTTATTTCTTTTTTTCTGGAGGACAAAAGAAAAGGGACGCCAACGTGCCAGCAAAATACAAATACAAGTTAAGTTGGGACATCCAAAACTCTACCCTAATATGCAGTAATAATATCGAATCTAAAAGGATAATATCTCATCTTTACCTATTGGTTTGAAATAGCAGCTGATTCAAATTATACAGCAAGATTTAAATAATCACCATTTCTAAAATCCGGGATACAACAGAGCGGCAAAACAAAGTGAGGTAAAGCACGGAGAGAGTTGACAGAAGCGATGTTGACAGCGCCTCCTCAGAGCGATAACAGGGTTGTGTCAAACGATAACAGGGTTGGCGACTAGGGAACGTAAAAATTACGCCAAGCGTGCCAAATAAATTATCAGGCCTGAACGATACAGAATCCGATGACGATACGCCAGACATCATAAGACATGTAAAAAAAAACGTAAAAACGTTACAAAATCGTATATTAAAATCTTTTTTTTCGGAAAAACTCTTAAACACGTATATTTTATTTTGTTGTTTTACATATTTTAAGATTTTTTATAAATTTATACAGGGTGTTTCATAAAATATGACCATTGAGTAATCACTATTCTGCTTAAACTGCTTGACGTTTAAAGCTGATTTTTGGCAAACGGATTGACTGTGGGGTATAGAGGTTCGATAAGGATGGGTTTCTCGCATCACAAATTCCAAGAGGATGAAAAGGCCCCTCAAATATTACGACATTTGTTATTTAAAAAACGGTTAGTCTTTTCTTAAAAAGTTTTTTAACCACGATTTCTTAACCACGATTCTGCTTAAACTGCTTGACGTAAAAAGCTTATGTTTGGCAAACAGATTTTTCGAAAGTCAAATTCCAACGAGATGAAACTACCCCTCAAATATTACCAAGTTATATAATAATATTGCCATATTGTTTTTTCTCATGCTGACATATATGTGAGAAAATTTTATTCAGTTTGTATGTTAATGGAAATTCTTGCTTTGCTTTATCATCACCATTACAAATGATTAATTCGACGCGAACGAAGTCGCTGGTACACGCTAGTTATATTATATTGTAACGATGTTACTTAATTTTTGTGATAATTAATTTGTAGTGATTAAATTAATTAGCTTTTAATTATCAAATTATTTATAAAATAATTATTTTGTTAAAAGCAAGTAGTAGAGTCTTGCTTCGTATCGATCGATACTCGCGTGTCTGTTCTAGTGTAGTGCTACGCCACGTTTTCATCAAGTGAATCTTGTCGTTTGAAAACTTTCCTTTCAGTTTTCCTCGCCCATTCACGTGAACGTGTGTCCTAGCCAACGCCTTCGGAAAAGCGGTGAGCGGCTTTATATTAAATTGTGAAAGGCCGTTCGCTGTCTTTCAAAAGGTGGCTGACTATGAAGAGCAGTAGGTAGCGTCCTTTGGTCAGTGTTTTCACAAGTACTGTCGGGAGGCGTTTCCTGTGCCTAATCCATCCGTGATTGAAGGGAAAGCGTGAAAACCCTACAATTTTGACCGTGGGGTGCTGTTTTCACGTACGGTTGGATTGTGGGCTAGTGAACAAACGAAAGACAAGTTTCTTCTCCGGGTTAAGATAGGGTTTAACTTGTAACTTTTGATTTCGCGATCTTGCCACGCCTGCGCTACCCTAGCAGCCGTCAGGAAGCCGCCTGCCGTCTTCGTCCCGGTGCGCATGCGGTGCCCGATTTTCTTTTAGAAAGTAACCAGACACTGCGTAGCTGACTGAAGCGCTGTGTTGCGGATGTAGACGTCTTTCGAAAGTCATCCTAACACATGCGCAGTACATTCTCCGACCGCAAATTCTAGGGTGAGCCATCCAGCCATCACCTCCATTTCAGGGCCGCGCATGCGCCCTTGGTTAGAAAATAGAAAGTGTCGCGCTTGCGTAGGATCTTACTCCGCGCCATTTTGCGCGAAACCCCTGAGCCTAGACTTTACGGCTGCTTCTCAATCAATTTGAGTTTAATAAAGATTGTTTATATTATGTTAATGTAAAACTGATTGTCTTATTTTGACTTTACCTGCACCCCTTCATACCCGGAGTCTCCACTGTTTAAAGGCTACCCGTACTGGCAGACGTGGACCTCTACCACTTTAAATAACAGAGGTGGCGCCCGAGACATCTAAAATTACCACTGTGCGTCAATAAGGCTATTTTTCACAGAACCAAAGAAATAGCCTTGCAATATATCCGGTTTTGTATATCCATTGCCTTCGATCTTCCCAATCTCCTAGAAGTAAATTTCTTTCGGACATGGCTCGGTTAATGCCCTCAATCCAGGTAGCTTTAGGTCTTCCTTTCTCTTTCCGCCGGTGTCCATTTTAGGATTTGTTTTGGCAGACGTCCGTCAGCCATTCTTTCTACATGTCCATACCATATTAGTTGGCGTTGTTCGATTTTATCGAGGATAGTTTTCTTTACGCCCATAATCTCTCTAATTCTCTCGTTGGTTATTCGTTCTATTCTTGACTTTCCAGCAGATCTTAGCCAAAAATCCATTTCAAGAGCCAGTAGTTTACGCTCTAAAGTTTTATTTATTTGCCAGGTTTTTACGCTCTAAAGTTTTATTTATTTGCCAGGTTTCACATCCATACAATACAACACTTTTAAATATTGCATTGTATAAAAGGTGTTTTCTTTCAATAGAGATGTTTGTTGACCATAATAGTGAGTTTAGGCATCCTATAGCTCTTTTCCCTTTAATTATTCGCTCCAGTATTTCTTCTTCAGTTCCTCCACTTTGGCTAATCTTTGTTCCGAGGTAGGTATAATCTGAACAACATTGTACTATGCAGCTGTCGTCCACTTCCAAATCTGTTCCATCTCCACCGATATACATATATTTAGTTTTACTGCAGTTAACAGTTAATCCCCACTCTGCGTATTCTTTAAAAAGTTTCATCGCCATCAATTCAAGGTCTTCCCTATCTTGGGCCACTGCCACTTGGTCATCTGCAAAATGAAGAGTATATAAGTAGGTGTCATTTTTTAGTTCTATTCCCATTCTACTGCAGGATCTTCTCCATTTCTTTAAGGCTTCATTGAAGTAGATTTTGAAGAGAGTTGGCGATAGACAACATCCCTGATGAAGGCCTTTGGTCACATAAAAGGTTTCTGATATGTTACTGCCGATCTTTATTCTGGAAAATGCTTGGTGGTATAGCTGCTTGATGGTTTTGATCGCTGTATTGTTAATTGGAGAGTTCTCCAACACTTGCCACAGTTTTTGGATTGGCACTGTATCATATGCTTTTGAAAGGTCAACAATAACCGAGTTATTTTCCAAAATAACCGAGTTATTTAAGTTTGAAAATAAAAAAAATATATATTTTTTTTTAAATGTTGAGTCACCGAATTTTTCCTGTATTTGCATTTTGCATCTCTTTTAGTGCCGCGCCGTAACCATGGAGTAAAGCCGTAACTATGGTAATATCAGAGATTAAGAAATTCTACCGTGGGAAAATTTGCGGTGAACAGGCAGTTCTAAAAAGTTTTCGAAAAATATAGAGGGAAATTTTAAAGAAAATCCTCGATTTTCAACATCTTTTTTTGCGAAAAAAAAACTCATAGACTTGTTCCTGGGGTCGAAATATACCAGCCATGTAAATATTTGCACTTATTGTTACAAGTTGAGCAAAACAAAATCAATTTAATGAACTCTAATTTAAAGGTACTATATAAAATATATCTACCTATATACTTACTTGAAATATATGGTATCTTATATCGTTAATTTGTACAGTAGGAAGCCCTCCCTCACACAGCTTGCTGCTCAGCATGGCTCTCAGTCTAGGACTGGCAGTGACCAGCACGATTTTGTGAGCGTAAAACAGTCTACCCTCCACGCGAAACGTGACGTCACTCAGTTCTGGATTGTTGACGTACTTCGTGTCAATTCTGGAGCCGCTAGATGTCGTAGGGGCGCATTCTTTGATGGGTTTGATCGGTTCCCAACCGAAGCACGTTGAAAAGATGTCGGCAAGAAGCAATGTTGTGCCCTCTTTCTGAAAAAGAAAAACGTTATGAACTTTTTATTGTTTGAAGGAAATATATATGTTACGGTTAAGGTCCGATGTCCGGTTAATGTTGACATTACCCGGTTAATCTCGAGAATAACACACAACAAAACAACCAGAAACATAACCTAACCCAAACATTAACGTGTTAATGTCGACATTAACCGGATATACACTCAGATGAAAAAAAAACGGAACAGAGAAATTTTTGGTCAAATTTAAAGTGTTATATTTTTGTTATTTTTAGCCCTATTTACACGAATTTTTTAGCAAACTGTACATAATTATATCAACTTTAATTCGTAAACTCAGCTTTTTGTAAACTTTAGTAATTGGCATATTACACAGGGTTAATCGGGGTTTTTTTTGTCCTAACTTTAAAACACCCTGGGCAATAATTTCGTCTGTAAATTTTCCCAAAATATAATTTCACAATAAGAACCATGCCTACTGAGCAATTTGTTTTTTTGGATCACGTCAATGCATGCTTTGGTTAGTTTTTAAGAGCGAAATGAACTGATCACGATCAATTTGCAATTTGTTCAGTTATCATTACTTTTGATATAATTTTTTAAAAAGACGAGATGGTTTTGGTGACTATTGTCGTAACGTCATATTACGCTACATCGGATACTCTATACTAAATTAAAAAAAATGTTAAAGACTAACGATACAGTCCTGGTTTTAATAAACATTAATAACGATAACAGAACTAACGATATTAAGGAAAACATCTGTAATATTGAAGTATACACTCAATATTACAGATGTTTTCCTTAATATCGTTAGTTCTGTTATCGTTATTAATGTTTATTAAAACCAGGACTGTATCGTTAGTCTTTAACATTTTTTTTTAATTTAGTACAGAAAAAAAGATTGTAAAGAATACCCTTATACTTTGTATTGCCTCCCCTGGCTACTATAACTGCCTGTATACGTTTGTTCATACTATCATTGAGGCTGCATATATCATAATGCGTTATGTTTTCCCATTCTTCTTTAAGGACCAAGCGAAGTTCATTTAATGAAGCTGGTAACGCTTCACGACCTCTAACCCTAATGCCAATCATTACCCAAACGTCGAACATGATGGGCAGTTCATAGTAGTATATAGTTCACAATAATCACCAAAGCTGCCTTGTCTTCTGTCTTTCTTTGAAAAAAAACTTCAAAAATAAATTATATGTAATTGAAAAAATTGCAAATTGTTGGTGGCAAGTCCATTTCGCTCTTAAAAATTAAACAAGGCATGTATTGACATGATCCAAAAAACAAAATGCTCAGGAGACATGGTTCTGACCCTAAAATTATATTTCACGGAAATTTACACACGAAATTATTGCACAGGGTGTGTCAAAGTTAGGGTAAAAAAGCAACCCCTCGATTAACCCTGTATAATATGCCAAATACTAAAGTTTATAAAAAACTGAGTTTACAAATTAAAGTTGATATAATTATATACAGCTTGCTAAAAAAATCATGAAAATAGCCCGATCCTGTCGTGTTAAGCCACACCCAAAATTCCAAACACACGTGCTTTGATTAAGCCTTGATTAACATTTGCAGAGCTTCAGCATTTGCCATAAAATAAGGAGCAATTTGTTACAAAACCATATAAATTATATATCACTGTAATCACAAAACTTCAATCTATTTCTGTATTATAACGGAATTATAAATTATGTCTTTATTTTCGAGAAAATTTAGACCAAACATAACGTACATTTTGTTGGTGTTTGACCATCAAAATCTTCATAAATGTGTTACAATAGTATAATCCTTTATCTTTAATTTCCTTCTTCATTTGTGTAAAAATATCTAGCCATTTTTTCATAAAACGGTAAATGCCAAACGCTTATTTTGCTACTTTTTTGGACTAATGAAATGGACTCATAAAACATTCCTTTTTTGCTTACCTTGCTATATCGGAAAATGTTGAAAAGCAACGGGAGACATTCTTGTACGAATTGAGAACTATAATCATCAGGGCATACTTGCAAAAAGTCTTGCAACAGCTGATCTATCACACAGTCTAATCTTGCCTCATGAGCAGCACCTGCAATGTCAAAAAATGAGATGAACTTACAAGAGTACAATATCATTAAAAAAAAACAAAATTCAACTAACCCAAAGAATGCATCCAACAATGTAAGGTCCAGGGAATACCCAAGGTTCGTATTTCAACTGTTATATCCAAATGGTTGTTTTCCGCACTGTGATACATGGCTTCTTGTAAAGCTTTGATTTGAACCTTGTTGAACTGCGGCGTTGAATTTGAAGTAGTTGAAGATTTTGGTGTACCTAGTTTAAAGAAATATATACAGGGTGGGTCTTAAATAAGTGCAAATATTTTTAGTAAGAGCAGAAACACGATTAAGAGGTTTTTTCGCAAAAAAATTTGAAAATTTGGTTTTTTTTTAGTTACAAACGATAATTTCTTGATAATATAGCAACATAGGCAATGGATTAAATTTACAAAAAAGAAAATCCAAAAAAGTCTAGTGGTTCTCAAAATTTTAGCAAAAAATCATCTTTTTTGGAAATTTTCAAAGTAAAATAACTCGGTTATTTTGAATTTATTTGAAAAACGGTAAAGAGAAAATATGTTGCTTTTTCTGGAGATCTACCAGCCCTGAAAATATTTGCACTTATTCAAGACTCACCTTGTATAAGCGATACCAAATAAACTTTTAATTACGTCATCGAAGGCGCGATTATTAAATTCAGTGTTGCCAATCATGGACATGACTAACTAGAATTTAAATTTCCCGCTGGCGTTTCAGGTGGTAGCTCCGCAGTAAAAAATGTCTAGTTGCCACATTTATTTATTTCCTGACATTTTGATTCGATTTATCACTTTAGTTTTGTATTACGAGATTTTGGTTTATGTGAATTGTGCTGTGAAACCTTAATCTAAAAATGTTTTACTAGCAGATCTGGTATTCGAAAATTGTTCTTTTTAGAACCGCTCTTAGTGCGAACTGTACAAGATACCGAAGCAGCTTAATAGCCGTTGCAAAAACTCGTCGTTAACCAACGTTTTTAGAATATGTTGAACGGGAAAGGGAAAGTAATTTCCCTTAATTGTTGTTAAGAAGGTGAGTTTTGTTCATGCAAATAATAACTGTTTGTATATTTATAATTAATTCATTTTTGTTTCCTAAAACATTTTGATTAAAAGAAAATATGTAAAAGTCGGCAACGCTGTACCGGTCAGGATTAATCACGTAACTAAAAGTTTATTTGGTATTATCTATATATTTTAATTCCAAGTTATATTTAGAAAAAAAATAATTACCTTCGGCAAGCATCTCCTCCAAGCTGAGGACTTCTTTATTTACAGGAGCTAAAGGCTGAGCTAGTAACTTTTGCAAAACTACCCTGTGGCCGTGAGCTGCCGCTACAGAAATGGCGCTGTAACAGCCTCTTTGAGTTGAGGCTGGATAACTTAGTGTATCCTTGATTTGAGTGGAGAAGAACGGTTGGGCCCCGTGAGCACACAGGAGGGATACCATGTCGACGTTTCCACTGCCACAAGCAACCTAAATATAAACAAAATTATAAATAAATAATAAAATCTAATAGTTATTTTTTTATACTTTATACAAAACGATAAAATAGTATTTTATCGTCGACCGAAAATTTCGGGAGACGATAATGCAATTTTATCGTCGTGTATAAAACAATATTTTTTTCCATAGCAAGTTACGTTTTAAAAAATATTCAGAAATTATTATTTCAAGGATTTTATTACGAGTAGAAAAATATTGTGCTGGTGCTGGGGGTTCTAATTTGACAAATAAACAAAGCTGTCTCTTTAGTTGTCAGTTTTAAGTCAATATTTTTTAATTCTCTTTCGTGTCGATTACTGATTGAATTGGAGCCAGAAATGGCTCAAAACGAAATAAGTAAATTACCAACAGATATTCAGGCTGAGGCGACAAACGCCATATCCAAACTACTTCCATTTAAATCCCGAATAACTTATGAAAAGGAATACAAAAATTTTCAAAAATGGAAGCAATTAAAAAACGTACGAGAAGAAATAAAGTTTTTAACCTATCCTCGCTGTTAAAGTATCATTTAATCTACCCTTGTGGTTAAAGTACTATTTTATCTACTATTTTTGATAGATATAAGGCAATTTTAACAGTTGATATGGAAAAAAATAAATAATTTGCCCAAGGCGTGTAAACATTGTATACGGCACTATTAATGTTAATAATAAACATCTATCAAGGAATGTAAACAAAATTATATTACCTTAAAATCGCGTTTTGATGTTTGGGATTTTTAGGAAAATTCAACTACTATCTGGATTACTGGAGGAATATTTTTATAATTTTATTGTTTCATACTTTTATTGTTTCCAACCTAAACTCAAAATTTAAACACCAAATGTTGTTTTAAATCAAAACGCCAAAACGCCTTTATAAAACATATTAAAACTTCGTTTTTATAAATTGTGCTTATTGCACCCATAAAAAAAATAACTCAGTTAGTACTTACTACAATATCCATATTAAGTTACTTATACACCTTAATACAGATTAAATACTTACATAAAAATGTCAACAAATGTGAAATTAATATTTTATTTGAATTGAATTGATTGATTTGAATTATTTGGTTTTTAAAAAAAATTAATCGATTTTTATCTACATACATACTTATCGATTTTTCAGCCTCAACAGCCTTCTTTTTTACTCCTTTCAAAAGCAAAATATTTTGCATAGAAACTTGGTTTTCTTCTACCGTTTCTCTAAATACTTTTTGATAAAGATTATACAGCATTGCTAATTTTCAATTTCATCCTCTGTTTCACTAAGTCGTCATTTGTTTCCAATGCCTAGTATTTTCTTTTCAGTTTGTCTCTGCCTTATACTTATCAGTCAAACCAGAGAAAAACTCTTTTTTCTCCTTAAGTTCATTTATATATATTTTTTTTATTTCGTAGGTAAATAGTTTGATATTTATTTATTCTTGGTATGTCTGATTTTTTTTATATCTGAACTACTACATATCCTTCCTTCCCTGTCAATGCAATCCAATCTTGCAATTCAATTTAGAGTGCCATGGCTGTGTCAAAAACGCTAATTTTTAATCAAGAAGCTTTGGAAAAATAGATTTGATCGTCTAATGATTTTAGTGTCTTGTCCTGGCCGGTTAAAAGATGTCCAAATCGTATTTTTAATCATATCTCAATTTTTTCAAATGAAACAAGGGTGGCTCATGTGCATATTTGGAAAAAGCATTTTTTTACGAATAATTTGATACCACACACTTGGTATTTTGAGTCAAATTGTTGTTATAAACCACGTGTTACAATTTTAAATAAACCATATGCGAAAATGTCAAAAGTTGACATTCATATGTTTCTCTAAGAACACTCTGAATAGAATGAGATATCATTATCTCATTCTTATTATAAACACTCTTTTCGCAACGAATTTCATACAAAATTTTTTGTGAAAGCGGATAATTTGAGATTTTCATGCTATTATTATTATTTATTTTTAAACATTTTTTAAAATGGTCTTGTAATCGGTTTCTAAGGCATTGTTTATGCATTGTTTAATGACAAAGTTCTGTCAGGTTCAAACGTCGCCGTATTTCCTACATGAGTGATAATGACGAGTCTTTGGATATTCAACAAGCTGCTGAAACTACGCTATCCACGTTAGTGCCCGAGAAGTCGAAAAACTTATACGAGACCACCTACAACTTTGAAACCTGGGTCAAAGAAAAACATTTTTTTCACAGAAAATGAGAGAGAGAACGAGAATTTCACAGAAAATGTACTGCTAGCCTATTTCCTGAAGTTATCCACTACCTTAAAGCCGTCAACTCTGTAGAGTAAATATTCGATGCCCCGCACCATGATTTCTAACGTTTAATTTTTTACTTTTAGGTACTAGTCCTAAACAAGTGTCACGTTTAGATACTAGTGCCTAAAAGAATGTCATTTCGAATCTCAAATAAATATCAAAAGCTGTCAATTTCGAAACGCTTTCACAAAATAAGATATTTTGATGCATAGAAGACATGTATGAAAGTTTCATAAAGATATCTGTAATAAAATCAGAGTTATTATGAAAAAAAAATAGAAAAATTTACCACCCTGTATCACAGAAATTAATATGTTTAAAGCCGAAATTACATTTACAAGTAAAGGATGATTCACGGTACACCGGACCGTACCCGAGCCGGGCACGTTTCGTGAAGTAGACACCGAGCCACGTCCGGACCTTCTGTTTATGCTACACCGAGTTGATAACGGGGCTCGTATTAGTTCTGAGTATATTATAAAACACAGCCATTAAATACTGCTGTAAGATTCACTACCTACTACAGACATGATAAAAAGTGTACTTTGTTTATACCATAACTTCAGATTGCAGTCGGGGCACCAGGAAATTCCCACCACGTGGCGGGAACGGAGCGGATCCGAGAAAAAAATGTACGCCGACATTTCTGGGACGGGGCACGGACGAGTTCCGGCGAAGCTCGGATCGTGCTCGGCCTGGCATGAATGTATATGTGTAAAGAACACTTGACAATGTTTGGACGTGTCTTCACCGACGAACGGCTCGGACCCGTTACGGTGTAGCGTGAAGCATCCTTAAAGCTTGATTTTCATGCATCCGTTATCCGACGATACGATGATACGATATTAATTTTATTGGTTGAATTTGAAGACTTCGGTTGGTTAGAAACGGTTAACCAATCGAAGCCTTTACATTCAGCCAATAAAATTAATATCGTATCATCGTATCGTCGGACAACGGATGCATGAAAATCAAGCTTAAGTCGTATACGAGTAAGCGAATCGTATACGATTTCGCATATTTATGTAAATAGGAACTCGTAGATCGTATACGTGTTTGTTTCAAAGTTGAATGAGATCCGATTTCATTACGAGTACCGGTTTTGTTTATTAACAAAAATGGCGGCAAATAAGTTATCGCCGGAGGATATTGATGGATATAGATCTTTACCACAATATGAAATGTTTATGGGGTGTAAGAAACAAAGAATATAGAGTTAATAACTCGGTTAATAATTTTTCTTCAATTTCCAAAACACTTCTTGATTTTAAAGAGGCTTTAACCAACACTCGCCTTTTTTTCTAACAATCTGTTGACATTCTCTCTATTCTTTTTTTCATTATTAACAATAGAATTCCGGCTATAGCAACACGCTTTCTTTTACTAGGCGCCATATTTACACACTTTAATGGCATACGATTCTAAATTTAAATGTAAATAAAACTCTTACTCCTATACGAGTACCCGTATACGGTTTACTCGTAAATGTAATTTAGACTTAAGACATACATTCATATGAAGTTTTTCTCTCAGAATAGGTCCAAGAATCACACCCTTTTATATTAGCATGTCGTTAAGGAACACCCTGTATTTTTATATTTTTTTATTTTTCTCTAAAACTTTTTCTCTATAGAAATTTAAAAATTATAAACGAAGTTAACCATTTTAGAAAAAACTTTTTTTTTAAATATGCATTTTATCTTAAAATGTAAGTAATAAAAAAGTGTTTCATCATATAATGACAACCCGGAGACGTGCTGTATAATATGAGCTATGTTGCTTGTCCCAAGCGGTCCCTATAGCCTTGCGGCTTCCTGGCAAGAGCTAACGGAAATTCAAGTTACACAAACCCGAAATCGGAATGGAAGCCACAAATCGGATTTCCAAAACTGAATAAGCATTTCGCCGCGGTCCAGTAATTACACAGATTCTCCAGTTGTAAAGGACAGACGACCCTATAAACATCTCCTTAGATAGTCCGTCTTTACATGTGTAAATAATCTAAATTGATCTATTACGAACGTCGCGTCGTTTCAATTAATCGATATACATATGTTATGTGAAACTTACAAACTTCGATAAATGACATGAAGAATTTTCTAAAACCTTTTATACAGGGTGTCCCAGGCTGAGCGTTCATTAGCAGTTTCTAGAGAACTACAATATCTAGATCAGAGATTTTTTGCACATCATTTTTTTCACAACGTTTCTATCGATTAAAAATATTTTCAATATAGCGGCACTTCCGGAAATACCGGAAGTTGACAGCAACTTGTGTTATTTTAAATGGGTACGTAAAATTTTATTAATTTTGATATCAAACACTATACAGGGCGGTCCAAACTGTATTCCGGAAACTATTCTGCAGATAGAAATAATTAAAAATGTTCGTATAAATGTATGTTCTAAAATGCTTAGTTTCGGAGACACAGGGTGTAAAAATATCATTTTTATTTCGATTTTTTCCACATAATTGCTGAAGTAACGTCAATATTTGGAAGAAAATTGGTGTGTGAAAAAATTTTTTGACAGAGGAAATTTGATGTTGATGTCAATACGACTCCTACTTGTAGAGGGCGCCACCTATATATTTTTAACTGGTTTGAAGACTAATAACTTTTCCTCCGTACCTCTATAAAACTACTGAGTAAAAAATATACATTTACGAGAGATATTTGAAATCAAAACTATAGTCTGTAAAACGAATAACTTTGAATTTGACAGTTCCCGCGGGCTTTTCTGGTGTTAATTTTATTAGGTTAGCAACTTGCGGCCATACTGACGCAATGCCGTCTCTAATAGAACAGCCTCGGAGCGAGATTTATGACGTCACACTAGTTAGATACTACGGATTAATAAATATGTTGTAGAATACATGGAAAACATAATTATTCCTCGTATTTTTGGTTTGTATTTCAAAAATGATATAGTTTACATGAAGTTAATAAATACAATATATATACCTATTTATAGCAATAAATACTTTGGCAGATAAACTATGAACCATACAAATGCAGCAAATGTTTTACAATATGGCTGAAATCGATAGTCAATGTAGATAGTTTTTGTGTTAAGAATAATAATTTAAAAAAATATGTGGTCATCTTTTGACAAGTTTATATTAGTTTATTTATTGCAGTAAACATTATAATATATAAATAAATTTTGTGAATGCAAATAATAATACATCACTATTAGTAGATATTGAATGTTTTTTGTTAATTAGATCGATTTTCAAACCCCAAAATTTAAAATATATTTTACATTTTACCCATTATCTTATGTACCACCTATTCATTATTTGTATATTGTAAAACATTTGCTGCATTTGTATGGTTCATAGTTTATTTGCCAAAGTATTTATTACTATAAATAGGTATATATTATATTGTATTTATTAACTGTATATTATGTATATTTCATGTAAACTATATCATTTATAAAATACAAACCAAAAATACGAGGAATAATTATGTTTTCCATGTATTCTACAACATATTTATTAATCCATAGTATCTAACTAGCGTGACGTCATAAATCTCGCTTCGTGGCTGTTCTATTAGAGCGGCATTGGTCTAATATTTAGAAATGTCAAAAGCTGATGACATTTTACTTTTGTCAATTATGACATTCCGTGATGATTTTTGCAAGAAGTGGAAGAACTGTCACTTGTTTTATTATTTTCCTTTTCTATTTCACGAAAGTAAAAAGAGATACCTATCTGATTCGTTCAGGCACTCAATTTAAAGAATATCAGTAACTTTATTGACAGAGTGATTTTATATTTGCCATGTTGGTAAAAAATAACGGTCAAAATTCAAAGTTATTCATTTTATAGACTATATCAGTACCTGTTATCATTGACAAAAATTAAACATGTTGACTAAATAGTTATTAGACTGAAATCATAAAGTTGAAATGTTTTTGTGCAAAAAGTTCAACAGAAACTGTTTTATCATCATTTTTGGCAATAAAAAATATGATTAATTTAAAAAAATAAAAATTTCCCACATTTATTAGATCGGTCAAATAACTATCTACTCAACGTGTTTATTTTTTGTCAATAATGACATGTATTGACTATTTCCATTCTAAATGACTTAAGAACGGTTACTCGTATTGATTTTTATCAAGAGACATGTTTTACGTAAAAAGTCAGGGAAATGTATATTTTTTTACTCAGTAGTTTTATACAGGTACGGACGAAAAGTTATTACTATTTAAAACAGTTGAAACACATGTAGGTGGCGCCCCCTACAAAAATAGGAGTCATATTGACATCAAAATCAAATTTCTCATGTCAAAAAATTCCCAGATACTAATATTCATCGAAATATTGACGTTACTTCATAAATTATTTCTAAAAAATAGAAATAAAAATAAAACTTCTACACCCTGTATCTCCGAAACTAAGCATTTTAGGACATACATTTATACGAATTTTTTTGCTTATTTTTACCTGAAGCAGAATATGCTGCCGAAGTTTCCGGAATACAGTTTGGAGCACCCTGTATACAGAGTGGTCCCTTTAAGACAACTTTAAAGTGCAATAACTAAGATACTACTGAGAATTTTGATTTTGGTTTTTGGCTAATTTTTGTGTTATAATAAAGATTAATCCACGAGCGATGAAATCGCGAGTGAATTAATTTCGGGAGACGATAATGCAATTTTATTGTCGTGTATAAAACACAATTTTTTTCCATAGCGTTTTAAAAAATATTCAGAAATTATTATTTCAAGGAATTTATTACGAAAATTCCACACCTGTAATTTTTAACCAATCAAAACGTGTTTTTTTGACAAATCACCATGGCAACGGATAAATTTTAGTGAAAATTTTTTCCTTGTGGGCACCCAACAGCGAATTATACTGGAAATTTTTTGACGTTTATAATGACAGAATATATTTTTGAGAGTCTGGTTTTTATTTGTTTACATGATAATTTTGATACATTTCAATTACAAAGCTGAGATGAAAGTTTGTAAACTGCTTCCATACGCTTGACTTCGATTTCCTAGTATTCGCGGGTGTCAACTGCTTAATCTCCTGGCGAATATTTTCTTTGCTTTCATGACCGAAGCGAAACATTTTTTTTAAGCCGTGCCGCTTGACAGCTTCAAAACTGAAATAGTTTTTAAGTTTGGGTGTCTCTTAGTTGTCATAGTAACTAAATAATCAATTCGACCAAAAAGCGAAAAACACATTTTAATTATTTGATTTTCAAACACAATTTGGTGTGGAATTTTCTTACCGAATACACGAGGTCAATTAATTCGGACATTTTTTCTCGCTCATGAATATTTTTAGAAAATTATCCCTCGTCTTCGACTCGGGATAATTTTCAAAATATTCATGGGCTCGAAAAAATTTCCGGAAATAATTTGACCTCTAGTGGTATTACTAGTGAGTAGAAAAAATATTGTGCTGGGTTGGCGTTGGTTTCTATGTAATTTGACAAATAAATAAAGCTGTCTCTTTAGTTGTCAGTTTTGAGTCAATATTTTTTAATTCTCTTTCGTGTCGATTGCTGATTGAATTGGAGCCAGAAATGGCTCAAAACAAAATAAGTAAATTACCAACAGATACTCTGCTGGCTGAGGCGACAAACGCCATATCGAAACTACTTCCATTTAAATCCCGAATAACTTATGAAAAGGAATACAAAAATTTTAAAAAATGGAAGCAATTAAAAAACGTGCCAGAAGAAATAAAATTTTTAACCTATTCTCGCTGTTAAAGTATCATTTAATCTACTCTTGCGGAAGTACTATTTTATCTACTATTTTTGATAGATAAAAGCCAATTTTAACAGTTGCTACGGAAACAAGAGGTTAAATGACACTGTTTAAATTTAAATATTTCATATAACAAGGACTAATCAACGAAAAAGCCTAAAAATCGTACCAAAGTTACCCCGGTTGAGGGTACAAAAAAAAATAACTAGAGATGGTTGATGAAAATGACTTGCCTGTAGAGGGGTTAAGGTAATTTTCTCCTCGCTGACTACCGCACCCCCTTCGATGTTTGCGCCCCTTTCCAAGAGTATCCTGGCACATATTGTATGGCCCTTTGCCGCGGCGTACGTCAAAGCTGTCCAGTGCTGATTGGCCCCATTCACTGCAACGAATAGAGGTGAGGACGGAGGGGGTGTCTCTGTGTCCACTGAAGCACCTGCATCCAAAAGGGCCTGAAAGGAAAAATAAGAACTTTTGTTGTAGCTGATTTAGGAAATTACACAAAAATATTTAATCTAAATAAAAAAAATATTGTTTTGGTAATACATCTAAATTAAAAAAATTAAGGAAGGAGATTGAGCATATCAAAAAGCTTAGGTCGAACGCGATGGTGACCAAAAACGGCTGACATAAATTCCGGTTTATCAATGTGCGGTCCTAATTTTATTCAAAGCTTTTAAAAATATGATATACGTTAGGCTTAAATTGGTGTCTGGGAGATTTTTGACATGAGAAATTTGATTTAGATGTCAATATGACTCCTACTTGTAGGGTGCGCCACCTACATGTGTTTTAACTGTTTTGAAGAGTAATAATTTTTCGTCCGTACCTGTATAAAACTAATGAGTTTTATACAGATTTTTTTACGTAAAAAATGCCTCTTGGTAAAAATCGCTACGAGCAACCGTTCATTTAGAATATAAATAGTCAATACATGTCATTATTGACAAGAAATAAACATGTTGAGAGAGTAGATAGTTATTTGAATGAAATGATAAATTTGGGAATTTCTTGTAATTTTAAATTAATCACAAATTTTTCTCCAAAAAAATTATGATAAAACAGTTTCTGGCACAACGGTTTCTGAACTTTTGGCAGATAAACATTTCAAATTTATGATTTCAGTCTAATAACTATTTTGTCGACATGATTAATTTATGTCAATAATGACAGGTATTGATAATTTCGTTTCCAAATATCTCGAAAAGCATTTCTCGTAGCGATTTTTACCAAACGACCTTTTTTACGTAAAAAAACGTCGTAAATGTATATTTTTTACTCAGTAGTTTTATACAGGTACGGACGAAAAGGCATTACTCTTCAAACCAGTTAAAAATATGTAGGTGGTGCCCTATAGGAGTTATATCAAAACTAAATTTCTCATGCCAAAAAACTCAATTTTTTTACATCAATTTTCATCCAAATATTGACGTTACTTCAGAAATTATCGAAAAATTTGAAATTATCAAAACTAAGCATTTTAGGACATATATACGAACTTTTTTACTTATTTTTGACTGCAGAATATGCTGCCAGAGTTTCCGGAATACAGTTCGGACCACCCTGTGTAATTGGTTAATTTTAAGTGAATTTTATAAATGATCGGTTTATCACAAGTATGTATATTATATAGTCACTTACTAGTAAAAAGTTCCTTCTGCCTCTACTATTCTCCTTTTACTTCTACATCCTAATTTTTGCCGATTCTGAACCGTCTTAGGACTGTGGTACAGAAGTGCAGAAGTAAATATACGGCAATACTTCTACGCATGAGTTGTATAGTTCTAGGACGGTTCAGAACCGGTAATAACAAAAACCCAAAGAAAGATATTAGTAGTACCGTATGATCGAAAAAAAAACGAGTCAAAGACGGCTGGCGAATGACAATCGATGGTAATTTTGGCCAAATCAATCTCTAGATGTCATTTACTAAAATATATATAAACATAAAACTTATCAAAATTAACATTAATTATAGAAAGATTTAAAAAGAATAGAACGTTTCCAGCCGCACAAATCTATTTCCAAAAATATATTTTTTTCTAATTTTAAACTACATTTAACAATCATTCTTACTTAATATAAAAATAAATTACAACCTTCTTAAGACTTCATTTCACTAGTCCGAAAAAGTAGCAAAATAAGCGTTCGGCATTTAACGTTTTATACAAAATTGGCTAGGTATTTTTACACAAATGAAGAAAGAAATTAAAGATAAAGGATTATACTATATCCGTATTGTAGCACATTTTTAGACAACTTCTTTATTTTTAAGATTTTATTTTTAATGGTCAAACATCAACAAGATATTTCTTATGTTTGGACTAAATTTTCTCGAAAATAAAGACATAATTTATAATTCCATTACAATACGGAAATAGATTGAAGTTGAGTGAGATATAATTTATATGGTTTTGTAACAAATTGCTCGCCATTTCATGGCAAATGCTAAAGTTCTGCAACCTTAATCAAGCCTTAATCAAAGCACGTGAGTATTGGAATTTTGGATGTGGCTTAACACGACAGGATCGGGCTAAGCCTTAGGCAGATTTCAGTACAGACCAAGTAATGATGTCTAGGGCTTGACCTCGGAAAAATTATCATCGATTGACAATCTCCAGGCGCCCTTGACGCCGTTTTTTTTCGATTAAATGGTAACACTTTCATAAAATGTCATTATTCTATCACTGTTCATTTTTAAAATAAAATAATATAAATTTTATATACGCCTTACTTTGAAGAACAATATTAATCTTAAATATTTTTTGGTATACCTGTCCAAAATTATTTTGTTAACCTATCTCGGCTGCCGTCACTACAAATATGGACGTATTGGCATAAATTACATGCACGTTGTACGGCTGTTGTTTTGGGGACATAAATATACATAACCCCGATTCTGGGGATGTACTTCCGCTCTGTAGGACGAGCTAAGGGCTTTATTAGGCGCGTAATACTAACTAAAGCGTCAAACAAGAACCGTCCAACTGAAATTACTGGTACACATTGAGGGGACCTCGATTTTACGCGCCAAAAGCTAAAGGAGATTACGATTTAAATCATTTAATTATAATAGCATCTGACATCACTCTTTCGAACTAATTAAGCTGATGAAATGAAATTATATCTTATTAGTGATTTAGAGATCGCTGCGATCTCTATACACCAGGGTTGCCACCTTTTGTATTTAAAAAATCGGGACAGCACTGGTTCAACCTTTTTTCTTAAATGTGAAATTTTGTGTGCTCATCGGATTGTGAAACAATATTTTATGCATTTTTTTGTTAACTTAAAAAAACTATTGGAAATTTTTAAATAATTAAGTAAAAATAAAAAATTAAAAGTTGAAAACAAAATTAATAAGCAATCAATTAATTCTAAAACAACTAGAACAAAACCTAAACAAAATCAAAAGTTTCAGTTGTATACTTTGTATAATTGGCTTTATTAGTTTATTTAATTATTTTTAAATGATCATTTTTTGGCAAAATAAAACACTAATTCAACATAATATACCAAAACACTTTAAAATATAACATACATACAGGGCCCGGCAATAGTGCGTCGGGCATCTGTAGCTCCTAGAATAAAAAACTTGAGCATTTTGTTTAAGTGCAAACCTAAAGTATGTACCAGGATGTATTTCAGGAAAATATGTAAACTTCTATAGGGTGGCTCAAAAAAGTGTCAGTGGACCTAGATGATTTTTTTTAAATGGAACACCCTGTATATTATTGCATTTTTGGATTCCTTTCAGATCACTTTACATAACCCTAAGATATGAATAAATATATTTCGATAGTTTCAGAGATATTAAAAAATAAATCAAAAATATATATTTTTCAGCCCTTCTTAAAAAAATTATTAAAAATACAGGAACTGTTCTGAAATCAAAAGTATATTAGGTATTTACTTTAGATGGTCTGTTCTTACTTTGCTATAAATATGGTAATCGTAAATCATACAGGATGTTCAATATTCTACGCCAAACTTTCTAAAATATAAAATATTTTTTCTTTGTTTTTTTAAATGGAACACCCTGTATATTATTTTTTTATTAGATCGAGAATTAAAAAATGAACATTTTTTGTATTTAGAGTATTTCAAAATTTTTAACGGTTTCGCAGATACAGGCAGTATTATTTCATATGGCGCTGTCAATGGTAAAATACGAGAGAAAAATTATTCGGTGGCTTTGATAAAAATTTACTGTGGAAAATGCCATATGAAATATAAAACTGCAAATACCTGCGAAATCGTTAAAATTTTTGAAATACTCTAAATACAAAAAATGTTCATTTTTTAATTCTCCGTCTATTGAAAAAATTATATACAGGGTGTTACAGATGAAAATTAGCGTAGACATAGCGTTAAACATCCTGTATGATTTACGATTTTCATATTTATAACAAAGTAAGTACAGACCATCTAAAGTAAATACCTAAAATAGTCTTGATTTCAGAACAGTTCTTGTATTTTTAATAATTTTTTTAAGAAGGGCTGAAAAATATATATTTTTGATTTATTTTTAAATATCTCTGAAACTGCAAAATAAAAATAAAAAACACTAAATCACCACAACACACCAAAACACTTTTACTTTTACACTGGACGCGCGTTTCGCTAACCATGTTAGCATCATCAGCAGATGATTATAAACTAAAGTACAATCTACAAGGTGAGCGTTTATATACTCGCTCAGTGGGCCCCGAGTGGGCGTGGCAAAATCTAGCCAACCGAGTCAGAGCCAACTGAGCGTAACAGATTTCCGCCACTAGAGTAGTAGGAACAAAGAACTTGAAGGAATTGGACCGTTGACTCTGTTCATACTATCTTTACATTTATTAATTCTGATGCTTTCATATGCATCTAATTGCCTGTAATTTGAGACTTGTTTAATTAATTTTAAATTATTAAGATCTATACAATGTTCATTATCAACAATATGTTCGGCAACGCAAGATTTATCCGGTCTACCATATCTTATCTGAGCTAAATGTTCTTTAAATCTGGTTAATATTGATCTTCTAGTTTACCCAACATATTTTTGATTACAATCTTTACAAGAAATTTCATAAATACCCGACCTTTCCAGTGGAGGTGTTTTATCTTTTGGATTACCTAATAATTGTTGTAATTTATTATTAGCACTATACACAAGTTTATAATTGACATTCTTAAAAATTCCTTTTAGACCACGGGATAACTTTCTATCAAACGGTATCGAAAAATATTTAGACGAAAAAATATTTAGACGGGTTCAAGTGGAGAAAGATACTCCACTTGAAAAGTCGAATTTTCAGAAATCATTAACCTATACTAGTTGATAAATTAATTAGAAAACGTAGGTATAGGTTAATGATTTCTGAAAATTCGACTTTCAAGTGGAGAAAGATACGTCTAAATATTTTTCGATACCGTTTGATAGAAAGTTATTTCTGAAAATTCGACTTTTCAAGTGGAGAAAGATACGTCTAAATATTTTTCGATACCGTTTGATAGAAAGTTATCCCGTGGTCTAAAAGGAATTTTTAAGAATGTCAATTATAAACTTGTGTATAGTGCTAATAATAAATTACAACAATTATTAGGTAATCCAAAAGATAAAACACCTCCACTGGAAAGGTCGGGTATTTATGAAATTTCTTGTAAAGATTGTAATCAAAAATATGTTGGGCAAACTAGAAAATCAATATTAACCAGATTTAAAGAACATTTAGCTCAGATAAGATATGGTAGACCGGATAAATCTTGCGTTGCCGAACATATTGTTGATAAAGAACATTGTATAGATCTTAACAACTTGAAATTAATTAAACAAGTCTCAAATTACAGGCAATTAGATGCATATGAAAGCATCAGAATTAATAAATGTAAAGATAGTATGAACAGAGTCAACGGTCCAATTCCTTCAAGTTCTTTGTTCCTACTACTCTAGTGGCGGAAATCTAACTGTTACGCTCAGTTGGCTCTGACTCGGTTGGCTAGATTTTGCCACGCCCACTCGGGGCCCACTGAGCGAGTATATAAACGCTCACCTTGTAGATTGTACTTTAGTTTATAATCATCTGCTGATGATGCTAACATGGTTAGCGAAACGCGCGTCCAGTGTAAAAGTAAAAGTGTTTTGGTGTGTTGTGGTGATTTAGTGTTTTTTATTTTTATTTTGCTGTGTAACACCAAAGGTTCCAACCCTCAACTGTAATCTCTGAAACTGTCGAAATATATTTATTCATATCTTAGGGTTATGCAAAGTGATATGAAAGGAAGCCAAAAATGCAATAATATACAGGGTGTTCCATTTAAAAAAATCATCCAGGTCCACTCACACTTTTTTGAGCCACCCTATAGAAGTTAAAATATTTTCCTGAAATACATCCTGGTACATACTTTAGGTTTGCACTTAAACAAAATTCTCAAGTTTTTTATTCTATGAGCTACAGATGCCCGACGCACTATTGCCGGACCCTGTATACTCAAGCATAAAAAGGCCTCAACACAGACAAGTGCGCTAATTTCCATTACTTTTGCAACACATTTTCTTTATTCCCTTAATTAAAAAAAAAATTTAAACACTAATTCACAGTTCACAATCTCGCGTCCAGTTCAAAAGTAAAGTTTTTTGGGTAATGTGGTGAATCAGTGTTTTATTTTGCTGTTGTAAGACCAAAAGTTCCAAGCTTCAACTGTAATGCATATATTTTTTATTTGTTTTGTTGCTGTCAATACACCAAAACACTTTGCTTTTAACACTGGACGCGCGTTTCGTTAACCAGCTTAGCATTATCAGCAGATGATAAAAACTGCTTCAAGCTTCAAATTTATGGTTAACGAACTAAAACGTACTTTAAATTATCCACACGGAACCGAGCAAAAACGTAACATTATTTTTATAGAAGCGTCTGTTTTTAAAAGAATACATTTATCTCAGCTAATAAGAAAAATCTTAATTAACTGATCACACCGAGCGAAAAATTCGTTATAAAATTAATTACTCTATTTTCAACTAATGATAACTAATGCTCAATTTTTATCGCAGACAGCTATGTATTTGTATTTAATAAATAATACGCCTACTATATATAGTACAGAAAGGAACATAAATTCTATTTTTATCTACACACTTCTATTTTGTTTCTAAACAATGTTAAAAAGGTTAAAGAATGTTACAAAATTACACTTTAAATCTTACCATACTATTTACCTTGCTATTTTTTAAGCAATTTACTAATGTATAATATTACCTAGGTTTTATTGTAAGAAAATCCATAAACTGCTATTTTTACTTTAAGTGTTTCAAATCCTTTTTCAAAGCCTTTCTTTAACACTTAATGGACTATTTGACTTTACGATCCATCAACACGGAGTTTAATAGCTTTATTAGGGGACATAAAAATCGTCATTTTTTGAAAGAAAAACAAAGTAGTTAAAGTTTGCTTTCCCACTATTTAGTGTAATACAACTCGAACAAAAAATGCCTGACATTAGTGTCCACGCTTTTATTTAAACAAAAACGGCGATTTTCACAAACCTATGATTTGTCAGCAAGCGTGGGACACAGAGCACAGAGTAGAGTTTAACAACGCAAAAATTATGATGAAAGAACCGATAGGCCTCGAAACGTAAAATAAAAGAGAAGAATTTTTTCGTCAAGTTCGAAGTTTCCTTTAAGCCCGATTTTCATGAAATATATTCTTTTCGTGAATTATAAGAATAGCAAATTGTATATAAATCTATCAACTTTAATTCATAAACTCAGTTATTTATTAACTTTAGTATTTGGCTTATTATACAGGATTAATTGAACGGTTGTTTTTTACCCTAAATTTAAAACACTCTGTGCAAGAATTTCGTGAGTAACTTTTCCTAAAACATTATTTTTCGATCAGAACCATCTCTCCTGAGCATTTTCTCTTTTGACTAATATCAACACATGCCTTGGTTAATTTTTAAGAGCGAAATGAACTTGCCCCAACAATTTGCCTTTTTTTAAGTTTATTATTTATTTATTTATTTAGCGTATGGCATATTAAGACACAAAGTACGTATATGACAAAAAGAAAGAAAAAAAATACAAACGAACATTTAACAAATTAATATAATCTATTGATTCTGGAGTTGCCAGTAGGAAATCTTCTCGTCTGCCGTTATAAGCCGTTTCAGGGCATACCTCCACGATATGTGTGATGGTCTGATTTTTGCTGCACTCGTAGGAGGGGCTTGGACTTTTGCCCCATTTGTGTAAAGTACATGCGCATCTGCCATGCTGCGTTCTAATTCTATTTCGCGTGCACCAGGTTTTCAATGGTAAGTCAAAACCTGGTGGTGGGTTGGTGATGCATGGTATGTCACTGTTTTGTTTCGACGTCCATTCCTGATACCAAGTGTCGGTGATGCTCCATTCGTCTTCAATTATATTTAGTGCGGTTTTGGTGGGTGGTTTTCTGGATCGGAGGCGGTTGTGGTTAGCATCCTCGATGTCTGTATGGATCGGTAGTTCTCTGTTGTCCAGTATCTTGTCAAACTCTCTCTACAGAGCGTTTATGCGGCGCAGACTTGGGGGGTGGATGTGGTACTGGAAGCCATTCTGTGAGTGTGGATTTAATAACACCAGCAATCATTCTCATTGTATTATTGAGCTGTGCGTCGATTTTGAGGACCTGTGGACTATTGAGCCATACCAGAGCACAGTATTCGGCGGCTGAGTAGACGAGACCCAGAGCTGACGAGCGCAGAGTAGAAGATGAAGCACCCCAAGATGTCCCGCACTATTTTTGTATTATATTGTTTCTTATTTTCAACTTCTCTGCTGTTTTTGATAAATGCTCTTTAAACGAAAGTGTTCTATCGAGTGTAACACCTAGGTACTTTGGGTTTTTATTATGTTTGAGAGTAGTGTTTTCAAACTGGACATTGAGTTCCCTATTTGCGAGATTGTTATTCTGGTGAAAGCAGGATACTTCTGTTTTGCTAGCGTTTGGTTGGAGTCTCCACTTCCTGAAATATTTCCCTAACTTCTCGAGATCAGGCGTTAATTTGCTCTGCTTCTTCGAATCTTATAGTAAGTCCCCAATCGTCGGCATATCGATGTTTTCTTGACCTAGTTTGGGGCATATCTGAGATGTACAAGCTGAACAAAAGCGGCGCGAGCACCGCTCCTTGAGGTAGACCGTTCTTAAGTTTCTTTGGAGAGCTTGTGTCAGATCCCATTACGACTTGAAATATTCTGTCGTTCAACATGTTGTCAAGCAGTTGTGCTGTTAGTTTGCATGGAATCATTCGCAGAAACTTATATATCATACCTTCTCGCCACACCGTGTCGTAAGCTGCCGACAGGTCGATGAAGGTGGCCGCCATTTTTTGTTTTCTTTGGAACCCTGCTTCTATGTGTATGGTGAGGGAAAGAACGCTTGCTATCAGGAATGGACGTCGAAACAAAACAGTGACATGCCATGCATCACCAACCCACCACCATTTTTTTAAGTACCATTACTTTACGATGTTATACGAGGCGGCTTTGGTGACTACTGTCGTAATGTCATATCGACACTGAGTAAAAATCTATATTAAAATTTAAAAAACGTTAAAAAAGTAACAACATCGGCTTGGTTTCAATATAATAAAATATTAGTAACACTAACAAAACTAAGAATATTTAAAAAAAAATAACTGTAAAAACTAATATAATATATATAAAATGTATTTAACACGTCGCGTCGTTTCTTGCACCATATTGTAACTCTGTGCATGCAGTTTGCAATGCCACCTTTGGTTAAAAATATTAAACAATGGACAAATGCATTTAGTAAGTCTGCTCCTCAAATGTAAACATTACCGTTCAACCACCCCCATATTCAAGTTTAACTTACGGTTAGTGTGACGTCGTCGTTGTGAATGGCCGCCAACATTAGGGCCGTGTGCCCTTGCGGATTAAGGGTATCCAAACGGGAGGCAGTGGGCAGCAAAGCCAAAGCTTGCTGGATTAATTCCGGTCTGCCAGTCAGCATTAGTCGAAACGCCAGCTCCACCTGTAAATTACAACTTATCAGTAAATTGCCATCTTTACTGGTACAACGAATAATCCAAATGAAGTCAAAACACTTTAAAATATCGAGTTTATCACACAACTGGTTCATTAAATGTATTTTCATTAAAGGCTGATTTTTTTTTATTTATCCATTAATATCTCACTCTATCAAAACATATCGAATAATATCTTAGGATTATGTAAAGTGATCAAAAAGGAAGCCAAAATGCAATAAAATACAGGGTGTTCCATTAAAAAAAGCTATCCAGATCTACTAACACATTTTTGACCTACCCTGTAGAAGTTAAAAAATTTTCCTGAAATTCATCGGGGAAAACATACTGTACGTCTGCTCATAAACAAAATTCCTAACTTTTTTATTATAGGAGCCACACATTCCCGGTCACCCCCGCTCAATATTGGAGGACCCTGTATACTATACCATTTAGGTATACTTCATAGATAAAAGACTTTGATACACTTTTTGTATACTAGGGCTGGCATTTCTGGTCTTGGGTGCCGATTTTCGCTTCACGCTTAGCAAAAAAATTGGCGCCGGGGGGCACGTATAGCCGCCCATACTAAAATATTTTAACAAAAAGTTGGTAGGCAGTTCTTTTAGTTTCACAGTATAGGAATTTTTTCAATTTTTTTTTATCTCAAAACCTGCGACTTTGACTGATTTTGATGTCATTACAAATTTTGTTGCAAATATTATATCTAATCTTAAAATGAGAACCGCGTTTCGCTAGCTACTGTAATTTTGGAGTAACGATTTTTTAAATTTTTAACCCCTTCCCATACCCCCTTACCAACCCCTCACCCCCACCAAAAACTAATGGCCAGATTCTCGGGTGCCACATATTATTTTTGTGCCAAATTTGGTTAAAATCGGTTTTGAGTTATCGTGTTACAGACGGACAGACAGACAGAGAGACAGACAGACACCATGAAAATATTTTGTATTTAGGTCATTTATGACCCAAATAAGTCATTTTGAGTGAAATTAAAAAAACTTTTTTTTGTCGATCTTAATAGCCTCCCATACCTATTGGTATTGTTGCGGACCCGTATGAACTCGGCATAACCTAACTAGCTAAAATGTCCCGCCCCCATATGACCTTAATATCGCATTAAAGAATAATAGACACCGTAATAATTCATTCGAACCTTCGAGAACCATCGAGCTCCACTGGAATGGAGTAGTACATACCAGAAGATTCGAAACCTTCTCTATGCACCTAATGATCTATGGATTATTCGAGAATTCCTTAGAAAAGCCGGGGGCTGGGGCCTAAAGAGGACAGAAATAAATAGACGAGTACAGTTGACGCGCTAAATTCAAAATAAATTCTTTCTAGATAAATAGTTATAAATCGTTTGTAAATAGTTCTTTAAGTTTTTTATCGTTATTGTTTTTGTTAATTAGTGTTAAATAAATTGTGATTTTCTGGTCGGCTAATAAGATGTACTGAATAAAGACAGAAGGCAAGTATTTTCCCAAGCGCATGGATTCTAGCGTCAGATTAAGTGGTTATGTAATAAATATTTCGCGTATCTTTGCTCACTCTGCCGTTCTTTAAAAGATATTTTAAAGAACGGCACTGCTTTGCTCTCTCCGACTTACTAGATTGCCATAGCGATTCACTTCTATACATGTAAAGGCCGATTCAAGGTTTCGCTTGCCAGTAGGGTATAATGTGATATCCTAGGCCTAAATTAAACCATTTTTGAATTATTGGCAATCAAAATGTCTAAAATAGCTTTGTGTAATTTTACAAAATAATTTTTATTCATTTTACTTAATTTTTTATAATAATTGAGGTACCTACTTATTGGAAAAACTGGAAATCGTCCTTTTTTTCACAAAAATTTGTATACACCTTATTTTTAGCCGTAGATTACGAATATGTAATTCTTTTTGGTGGTCTTTTACTGTTTTTTTGGAAAAATCCAAAAATATATCGAAATGTAACTTTTCAAAATTTCTCAATAATTACCGATTATACCTATTGTTTTATAACCTATTATTTTATAAGACTTCATTACAGGTTTACATTACATTTTTGTATAATGTGTAATTTGAGATACATTTTAATAATAGTCATAAATAGCCATAAAAAATTAAGGATGCCATTTAAAAAAGATGTCATGGCAGATACAGGAAACATTATACAGGGTGAGTGCAAATATTTTTAGAGATAGTATATTTCGTTGGTTTAAAAAAGTTGAAAATTTGGCATTTTCGAAAAAAAATGGGAATTTTTTTAGTTAGAAAACATAATTTCTTGATAATATGGCATCATAGGTAGTAGATTAAATTTACAAGAAAGAAAATTCAGAAAAGATATAGTGGTTTTCAAAATTTAAGAGATTTTCAAAGTAAAAGAACTGGATTATTTTGCACTTATTTGGAAAACGGTAAAGAGAAAATATGTTTCTCTTATAAAGATCTACCAGCCCTGAAACTATTTGCACTTATTTAAGACTCATCCTGTATAAACATTACATCTCAAAAGATTTATCCAATTTAAGTTCCAGCGTATTTTAAAAAAATATATATTTGATTCAGTGAAATTATTCCAAGAGAATCACCCTGTATTTTGATCACATATTTTATAGATGCTGTTTTTAGGAAGCTAAAATTATTATTCGCTATACAAAATTAATTTAAAATACCAATGAAGTAAAAAATTGTGACTGAAATAGACGTGCGTTTGAGTATTTTGTAAAAAACATTCTTTTTTAATATTTAATAAGACTTTTAAACACGAAAATAACTGCTGAAATTATTTTGCCATACAAAATTAATTTAAAATATTAATGAAGTACAAAAATTAATACTAAAATAGACGTATTTTGTGTCCGTCATAGAAAGCCTTTGTTTTAAATATTTAATAAACCTTTTAAATATAAAAAATTACTCGATATATATATAATTCAAAATATGTCATTTACATATATGTAGTTTCAAAAATTGCTGAACATAGGTTATTCAATACAAAAACAAAATGTTTTTAATAACACTGTTATAACTGAATATACGTGTTTATAAGTCAAAAACAAAGGGTATAGCCGGATTAATACTTAATTCACCTACATTTTTAGCTCTTTAACTGAAACGGTTTTCGAGATTTTCAAAAAAACTTGTTTTTTCAATTTTATTTTTATTTTTATAGTAAAATTCAAAATTAATTAATGATGATTTTTTTCTAATTCATAGAAGTCTACGATATGAAAAAATAATATGATCATGATTCTTAAACGGAAACCCGATTTTTAGCGGAAGAAAGAAAATTAAAATCTTCATTTTTTTAACCTTTGTGAAATATGTCATTCACTAAAAATCGTCAGAAAATATCTTTTATACTCCTTTACACTCACGAATTTTTTAGAATTTTTTGAAGTGGTGGAACAATATGAAAAAAATAAATAAAATTTTTCATTTACATTTTTCTAAATCTTCTGTTTTAACTAACTTATATTTTTGTTTAGTTTAAAAAAGTGCGTAGAAAATATTTTTTCATTAAAAATACATTCTTGCCAGAAATAAACATAAAGATTATTTTAAAAAAATAAAAATATATTATTACTTATTCATCTTGACGCGAATTTTTCAAAAACTCAGTCTTTACGTAATCATTGGGTAGCAATATGATTGAAAATGTGTAATAAGCAATATCATTGTGAATTTGAAGTAAAAAAATATTTTGTACGCACTTTTTTAAACTAAAAAAATATAAGTTAGTTAAAAAAGAAGATTTTTGAAAAAAAAATAGTTTTTAATTTTTTTCATATTGTTCCACCACTTCAAAAAATTCTAAAAAATTTCTGAGTGTAAAGAAGTATAAAAGACATTTTCTGACGATTTTTAGTGAGTGACATATTTCACAAAGGTGAAAAAAATGAAGATTTTAATTTTCTTTCCTCCGCTAAAATTCGGATTTTCGTTTAAGAATCATGATCATATTATTTTTTCATATTTTAGGGCACAAACATAGTGAGGCATCTCGATGCGATGCTCGCCAAGATGCTGGCCGCGCTGCTCGCCAGGATGCTAGCCGCGATGCGTCCTACGCGCACTGTTTTAAAACGGCGAGTAAGTGCGCGTAGGATGCATCACGACTATCGTACAAACATAGTGCGGGGCATTTCATCTCGATGCGATGCGCGCCATTCACCTCGCCATCCGGCGATGCTGAATCAAACATGTACAAATTTATGCGTCAAAACATACTGGAGCCTCGCACCTCGCCACGCACCTAGATGTTCAGCGCGATGCTTCCTAGGAAACAAAATTTTTGTTTTTTGCGAGAATCGGACACGGATGCCTGAAACTTTACATATGATTGGTCGGTTTAGGATCACAATTCGTTGAGCATATTATGTCGAACTAGAGTCGGGTGGAATAAAATGTTCACAATAATAATATTTAATTTATCACCAACAATGTAACAACCTTGTATATTATATATTTATATATAAGTATATATTTAAATATGCATGCTACAATGGAATAGATTATCAAGACCCTGTACAATTCAAGCTCCAGAAGAGAGCTGTTCGATATTCACTGGGACTAAACAGCAGAACTCATTGCCGGGACTTTTTTAAAGAATTAAAAATATTGACTCTTCCTTCCTTATTTATATTTGAATCGGTTTGCCTAATACGTAAGCATGTATCAGCTTCTCAAGAAAGGCCATCTCACACTTATCCACTCAGGAATGCGGAGCAAGATCTCGAAAAAAATGCACAATCACCTGCCATTTGAAATCAAATCCATAACATATTTTTTTCATTTCGCAAAGCATTGAACTCTTATTTACTAGACAAGTCACAGCGTCATATTTTCATATGATTTGAAACAGGCCCTGAAATAAACTGACTTATTTTTTTAAGTAAAAACTAAGCGTCGAATGGAAAAAATCAAGAGATAAAAAATGTTTAGGAATGAATTGAGATTTTGAAAATAATTTTTATTTTAAGAGAAATCAGTGGTGGATCACTTTTTTCTCCAAAAATATTAAATGTAAAACCCGTGTGGACGGCACTGGTTGAAATAAATAAAATTCTTTGTACACCAAAAAAGGTATTTTGGTATATAGAAAACGTGTATTAAGTTTCATAAAGATATCTGTAATAAAATCAAAGTTATTATGAAAATAATTTTTTTTTCGAAAAATTTACCAATCTGTATCTCAGAAATTAAGATGTTTAGAATTTAGAACATATTCATATCAAGTTTTTCTCTTACAATAGGTCCAAGAATCACGCCCCTAAATTTATATTTTATATTTAAGAACTTATATTAAGGAACACCCTGTAGAACACAACATACCCAAAGTGTTTTATTCTATTTTACTCATTTGACTGGCAATAATTTTAAGATTTTCTTATTTTGTTGTTATTAGTGGTGTAAAAACATACCAAAAAGTAAATAATACGATTAATTTTTAATTATATTTAAGTTAATTTTCATAATAGTGAAACTAAGTAACGAACCACTAATCAACAATAAAAAGAGTTCCATCATCAGGTAATAAACGGTATAACACAATTTGATAGACAATTAAATTGTGCATCTGATTCACGTAAAATGTACAGGGTGTTCTATTTAAATTAAACAAGTTATTGCCCTTTAAAGCTACTAATTATTTAATATAATTTTTTAGACACTCTTTATAAGGCAGTATTGCATTCATTATTGCATCACAAAATTTAGTAAATGGAAAAACTTCAGTACAATATTAAGTTTTAAAAACTTAAATACGCCTAGAGAAATGAAGCATTAAAATTGTTTGGTTTTGGTTTACGATTTTCACAAAATCGTAAATATTTCAAAAACGGTAAGATTAAAGTGCGGTAAACCTTAATCAAATTTACCTTTATTTTAATCGTAGAAACTAAAAGTGTAATTTTAATTTTGAAAATCATTTTAAATTGTAGCTTTAGCAGTCCCCCAACGATAATCACAATTTTTAAAAATCTAAGCATTTGGCTATAATACTCCGTGCCGAGTGAAGTGAATAACCCTGTATACAAGTATAAAAATTTTAGCATTTCTTCTGCCTAAATTTTGATGATATAATATTTCTTATAATTTTCCATTCTCGTCTTATTATTACAAAAAACTTCCCAGAGAAATCTACAGATACTTTCGAAATTTTGTTTTAAAAAAAGTTTTCAAAAGAAAACTTCGTATACTTTTCACGATTTTCCCCTGATTTAGAACAACTGTTCGCAATAAATAGGTCTTCCACCCTTTTCAACTCCTACGCGTTACTACAGCGTGTCTCTCAGATGAATTACAAACTCCAGTCTAGAATTTTAAATTATGTTTTCTGATAAACATTTACAGAAAACTTCAAGTGCAATTCACCTAAATTTTTAGCACTTTAACTCAAACGGTTTTCGAGATTTTCAAAAAACCTGTTTTTGTCAATTTTATTTTTATTTTTATAGTAAAATTAAAAATTAATAATAAAGATTTTTTTCTTATTCTTAGAATTCTAAGGGCACAAACATAGTGAGGCATCTCGATGCGATGCTCGCCAATATGCTGGCCGCGATGCATCCCACGTGCACTGTTTTAATACGGCGAATAGGTGCGCGTAGGCATACTGAAGCATTTACCATCGCCGTTTTATTAAGCACCGGTTTATGTAATAGTAGTTATTAATTAGTATAGGCTTGGTGAATTTCAGTTGATTTCAACAAATTCCTACCGCAGCGCTTCAATGGCAAAAATCAGAAATTATCCCTATCTATTTTACGTCGCCGTCATGTTGATCGCATAGAATAATATTGAAATCGTGGTTTTGTTATAATATTTAAGTATTTTAGTTTTTTGCTAGTGCAGTTATTGAGACAAAAAAGAGATGAAACACTCAGGTACGAGGTTTGTGTGATGTAACGCTGTTTCGGGTAGTAAAAAATAAATGAAAATGACCCTTGACTGATTGACTGTTTGACAAGCTGACTGACCCTTGACAAGCTGGTATTGGATATTCTGGTAGGTGAGCCTACATGCATGGCTATTCCAGAAGATTCAAAAACGGACTGAAGAAAAAATTAGAAAATTTCTTGAAAAGTTAGGATATTTAGGACATATAATCATACGAAGTGTTTTTTCTTAGAATAGGTCCAAGAATCACCTCCTTAAACTTTAGCATATCATTAAAGAACACCCTGTATTTTTCAAAAAAATAAACAAAAATTGTATTAGCTTTTCTATTATCAAAAAAAAATATTTTTACCTGAATTTGCTTGGTAGCCTCAACGTGATCTTCATCAGTGCCATTGTTTTTCCTCACTCTCACTGCCTCTTCACCAAGTGACCTCACAGGGCAATCAACGCCGGGCAAGAGCAACCTTGCAGCTTGCATTATATCGTCTTTATCCAAAATGGCGGCGAACCTATGCTCGCCGTGAGCAGTAGCAACCCTCAACCATTCAACCAGAGGGGGAAGTACAACGTAAGCTCTTTCATAACACAATTCCTGTAAAAGAAACAAATTTATCATTAAAACAAATTAATTATTGATGCGGGTTTCGCTGACTTTTTAAGCTTTTATTATTCTTTATTACACTATCGCATTTCATTTTTTTGAAAAAAACAATGTTTGTTAAATTGTAAGACAGCGCCCCCTAGCGTCTACATTCAAAAGCTTACTATTATCAGAGAAGTCTGCTATTATTGTCAATATGGTATAATATAGAGTAACTGTAATATTATCTGATATTATTAGAAAGTGCCCCTCCCTAATAGCTAGAAGGTCAATGGTGGACAGTTGACATTGAACGCTAGATTATTCCTACGCATCCTAATTGTTAAACTCATGTATTATTTTATATTTAAATAATAAACATATATGATTAAACAATAGTAGTTTAAGTCATATTACATGGCGCAGTCGTAGTGGGTAAAAAGTGGAATAATACCAAACAATACAAATTGGCGTGGATTGAAGTTAAAAGTAAATAAAAGTACATGTGGATACATAACCTTTAAGTGGTAAAAAACGGAAAACGAAAAAAAATTGCCCGCCAAATTATTAGAGTCCTTTTGTGGTGAAACAAATAAAGAAAAGTTCAAGAGGAAAAATGGATGTTAGATTACCAGAACCACTTTCCTTTGATGGAAATTTAGCGGAAAATTTTCGAAGATTTAAGCAAAGTTTTGAAATTTATCTAATAGCCAGTGGGAAAAGTGAAAAAGATGACAAGATGAAGATTGCTTTGTTACTAAATCTGATGGGTGAAGAAGGGATAGAAGTCTACAACACATTAAAACTAACAGAGTTACAAAGAGCTAATTTTCAAACAGTACTAAATGAATTGGAGAATTATATGACCCCGAAAAAGAACGTAGTGTATGAAAGGTTTCTATTTTACTCAAGGAAACAAGAAGATGAAGAAACATTCGACCATTTCTATACTGAATTGAAAAAGTTATCAAAAAACTGTGAGTTTGAGCAGTCGACTGATTCAATGATCAGAGATAGGATTGTCTTGGGTATCAAGTCGAGGCAAGTCCAAGAAAAACTACTTAACGTAGACAAGTTAGATCTCAATAAGGCCATTGAGCTCTGTCGAGCATGTGAAATCGCAAAATCCCAAATAAAAAGTGTACAAGGTGCTGAAGCTAAAGTTGAAGTTGTTAAAAACAAAGCGAAGACAGTACAAAGGCATGGCAATACTGAAGAAAAAACATTAATAAGCTGTAAAAGCTGCGGAAAGAAACATGAAAAAAGAAGATGCCCAGCATTTGGCAGAAAGTGCAACAAATGTAGGCGCTATGGACATTTTGAGAAGATGTGTAGAAGCACAATGATGGTGAAGGAGCTACAAGAAAGTAAAGAAGAAGAAGAAGATGAAGAACTCTTAGTATCTGTTGTGACAGTGAGTGAAGTGAAAAGTGAATCGGAGTGGATAGAGACATTAGAATTTGGTAAGCAAAATATTAGATTTAAGGTAGACACAGGGTCTCAGGTTAATTTGATTCCACAACATATACTTAAAAGTATTAAAAATCAAGATATTGCATGGCAAAAAACAAAATTGGTACTTGAAACCTATGGAGGTTTTAAAATAACGCCTATAGGTGTAGTAAAATTAAAATGTAAATTTAGAGATAAGGATTACACAATACAATTTGTTGTTGTAAAAGATAAATCTATGCCTATTTTAAGTCTACAGTCGTCCATGACAATGAATATTTTAAAGAAAATTAATGAAGTTAATTTAGGGTTAGATAAGAACAGTTTTATTAATAATAACAAAGATTTATTTATAGGAATAGGGAAATTTAAAGAACAATGTAAATTAAAAGTAAAAAACAATGCCAGTCCTGTGGCTAAGCCACCCAGAAGGGTTCCTTTATCAATAAAAGACAGGTTGAAAAAACACCTGGATGCTTTAGTTAACAAAGGCATTATTGCTAAACACCAAGGACCGACTGAATGGCTTAGTAACCTAGTTATTATTGAAAAAAGTGACAAAACATTAAGGGTATGTTTAGATCCCAAGAATCTTAACGAAGTATTAGAAAGAGAATATTTTGAGATACCAACCTTAGAAGAAATATGTGTTAAACTTAAAAATAAAAGCTACTTTACTGTACTAGATTTTAAAGATGGGTTTTATCAGGTAGAGTTAGATTTAGAGTCAAGTAAACTGTGTGCTTTTGGAACACCCTTTGGAGTGTATAGATTTCTTCGTCTACCATTTGGGTTAAATTGTGCCCCAGAATATTTTCAAAAATTAAATCAAGAACACTTTGGTGATATTCCGGGAGTGATAGTTTACTTTGACGATATTCTTATAGCGGCTGATACGTCAGAAGAACATGATAAGATATTAACTAGAGTGTTAGAAAGAGCAAAGAAATATAATGTCAAATTTAACAGCTCTAAAATTCAGTATAAAGTAAGAGAGGTAAATTATTTAGGAAATATTTTTGACAGGGAGGGTATGAGGCCTGATAAAAATAAAATTAAAGCAATACAAAATTTGGAACAACCAAATAATAAGAAAGAATTACAAAAACTTCTGGGAATGATTAATTATTTAAGAAGGTATATACCCAACCTGTCAGAGATATCTGCACCACTGCGAATATTATTAAAAAATAACACTGACTGGATATGGACTGATAATCAAACAAAGTGTTTACAAATGTTAAAAAATATTGTTAGTTCAGCTCCAGTATTAGCTAATTTCGATGTAAACAAAGAAATAACAATACAAACAGACTCAAGTCAAAGCGGTGTAGGGTGCGTGTTGTTGCAGGAAAATAGGCCTGTTGCTTTTGGATCACGTGCTCTTACAGATAGTGAAACTCGTTTTAGTCAAATTGAAAAAGAAATGAATGCTATACTATATTCATGCCAGAAATATCACAGTTATATTTACGGTAGGAAGGTTAAAATACTAACTGATCACAAACCCTTAGTATCAATAATGAAAAAAGGTGTTGCAGATGTAAGTTCTCCAAGATTACAAAGAATTAAAGTAAAATTGTTGAAATATGACATTGACGTTCAGTATTTACCAGGAAAAGATATGCTTATAGCAGATCTTCTCTCAAGAAATTATATTAAAGACGATATAGGTAGTGATAATACATTTTTGACAGAAATTGTTCACTCAGTAAATGTAACTGATGATAAATTAAAGGTATTTCAAAGTGAAACGAGTAAAGATTTTGAACTAAAATTATTAAAGGAAATTTGTTTAAAAGGTTGGCCTAAAACAATAACTAAAACACCAAGTCCTATAAGAAAATATTACAACTATAAAACTGACATATATACTTCTAATGATATTATGTTTCTAGGAGATAGAATAATTGTTCCAGAGACTTTAAGGACAGATATGCTTACACAACTTCACGCAAATCATTATGGTATCACTAAGACACAAAAAAGGGCTAAATCTTTATTGTATTGGCCAGGAATAAATGAAGATATTAAGGAATTTATAAAGAAATGTAAGAAATGTGAAGTATATCAAAAGAGTAACATAAAAGAGCCCATGATTTTGAGAAAAATACCTGATTTGCCATTTCAAAAACTAGCAAGTGACATTTTAGAGTGGGGAGGTCAGTCATATATAGTAATTATTGATTATTATTCAAAGTGGATTGAATTAATTTGTTTACAATCAAAAACGTCTAAATCAGTCATTGATGTATTTAAACAAGTTTTTAGCACACATGGAATACCATTAGAAGTGGTATCAGATAACATGCCATTTAATTCATACGAATGTAAAAAATTTGCAAAAGAATGGGGATTTAAATTCTTGACATCGAGTCCAAGATACCCCAAATCAAACGGCCTTGCAGAACGAGCCGTGCAAATTGCTAAGAATATGCTGAGAAAGTGTACTGATATTAGCAATGCTTTATTGGAATATAGAATGACACCTATTTCCGCCTCAGAAAAGTCACCAGCAGAATTATTGTTTAACAGAAAACTACAAACTAAATTGCCGATTAAGACAGAATTATTAATACCTAGCAAAATAAATTATGAAAAGGAAAAAGAAAAGCTAGAACAAAAAAGACAAGAATATAAGAGCTACTATGACAGGTCAGTAAGGGAGAGAAAAGAGTTTGAAGAGGGAGAAAATGTTGTAGTAAAAGAAGGTAGAATATGGGAGCCCGGAAAGATAATCAGAAAATTGGAAGAGCCAAGATCATATATAGTGCAGAAAGAGAATGGAAATGAAATTAGAAGAAACAGTTCCCATTTAAGGCAGTCACTAAATGAAGGAAATTTTAATCAAAACCATGAATTTATTTTAAATGAGGGTGTTGATATTCCAAGTAATGATATTCCAAGCAATGATATAAGTATTAGCATAAATCGGGCAACTGACAAAAGCAGGAGGCCTGTTAAACTGCCTCAGCATTTTAAGGATTTTCATATGTATTAGCTTTACTCTATTCACTAGTAAAAGGGGAAGATGTAATATTATCTGATATTATTAGAAAGTGCCCCTCCCTAATAGCTAGAAGGTCAATGGTGGACAGTTGACATTGAACGCTAGATTATTCCTACGCATCCTAATTGTTAAACTCATGTATTATTTTATATTTAAATAATAAACATATATGATTAAACAATAGTAGTTTAAGTCATATTACAGTAACAAACGCTCTTTTAAACGAGCCCCCGTTTGATGGATTCCGTTCATTCAGTCCGGAGTTATTAATATTTAAATAAAAACAGATCTAACATTCCCCCACCAGTTAATTTTGGTTTGGTTTGGCAGATATGGGAGAATGGTTCTAACAAAAAATATTCAAAATTTACCGAAGATTATGAAGCTATTATTTATAGTACCCGTTATCTAGACAAAATTGTGTAAAAACTCCTTTTTCTTATTTTTTATAGCAGTTTTTATAGCCCTCTACCGGCCGTTCTACCAACTTGAAAATAATTTCCAGCAATTTCTCAAAGCCTCTTTAGTTATAAATATTTTTTCCACAGGCTAATACTTTCCAAGATACAGCCGAGAGCTATTCTTAATGGGACACCCTGTACATATAATTGAACGGACTGTAAGAAGAAGAATACACGAAGTAAATCTTGTGTCAAGAAGGTTAGCTTCGGGACCACAACTTACTTGGTCTGTCGACTAGAATCAAAAGCAAAGGCATAATTTTAAGTAAAAATTACGAAAAAATGCTAGTGACTTCTTCAAAAGCGAATATCTCCGACAAAAATAAACACCATAAAACACACGAAAATGGGACACTCTGTACACTCTTAATAATAGATATTTACGATACAAGTGAGTTAACAGCATCATTAAGATACGCGTGTGAAAGTTGCAGAACGAGTGCGTAGCACGAGTTGTGTAACCACACAAGCAGGGTTGCCATGATTTAAACCGTGATTTAAATCAAGTGATTTTTTTAATTTTAATCATGTGATTTAAATAAAAAAAAGATTTTTATTGAAACTTTATAATAAATCAAAAAATACTGTAAAAGTTATAAAAATGTGTCCTATAAAACTCGAAAAAATATTTCTATGACAGATATAACAGATAATAAATCGAAAAATAATTGTAAATGTTATAAAAATATCAATCTATTCATTCATTAATTTAAATGTTGGACCGATTTTTGAAGTAATTTCGTGTGAATCCATTACACCGCTAAACGCAGGAATTTATTTTAAAATTTATGTATAAGTGACAAAAATTAGCTGTTATACATATCATTCGCAAAGTCTAGTGCAGAACTATGTTCTTCTGATAGAGAGACTATAGGTTTGTTCTCACAGCGTGTTCCCAACATGTTTGTGACTTCTTCCAAACCGGTGTTAATGCGCAGGTCTCATATAATGCAATTTCTTGTCGATTTCAAACTGTCTGTGCGAACAGCGAATCATGAGCGAATCCCCTACTCTTCTTTTTTGATCTAATAATACCACTAATTTTAACTCCTAAGAAGAAAACGAACAGGGAATTAACCAAAGACATCTTTTAATGTTTTTATTTTAATGTTTTTAATGCACACAAGTATTCTAATGGAGTTAACTCGCGTGTATTGTACAATATTTTATCTACGTCTAACTATAAAAAAACTCAATGAATTTTAAAAATTATTGTACTTAACTATACTAATGGTCGGTATTTCTGGTCTTGGGTGCCGGTTTTCATGTGTACGAAGAGTACGGTCAACACGCTTAGTAAAATTAGATGTACTGAATAAAGACTGAAGGCGAGTATTTTCTCAAGCGCATGGAATCTAGCGTCAGATTTAGTAGTTATGTAATAAATACTTCGTATTTTTGCTCACTCCGACTTACTAAATTGCCATAACGCCTCACTCCTATACATGTAAACGCCGACCTAAAGGTTCGCTTGCCAGCAGAGTATACCCATGGAGTATACCTATCCTAAAAATCAATTACCTTAATACGCCTTAATACCTTTATTCAAATAACACCAGGTGTGACAATGAAAATATGACAGTAAATAATACGATGATGTCACTAGTTTAAAAAATGAGCGATTCGGAAAGTATTCCCTCTGACATTTTGAAGAAGAGGCATTCAGAGCCATTTCTGGATTGCTTCCAGCAAGATCGAAACAGAAGAATGAATATACAAGAGTATATTTATACTCTTGTATAAAAGTATTTTTTATACTCTAAGTATGAAAAATGGTGCACCGAAAAAAAAAGCAGACAACTATGGAAATGAAAAGGTACTCATAACATATTATAATAAATAAGTTTTTATGTTTTAATAATTATTATCAATAGAACACTTTATTTGTAGTTATAGTCTGTGAAGCGAATAACTTTGAATTTGACAGTTCCCGCGGGCTTTTCTAGTGTTAATTTTATTAGGTTAGCAACTTCAGGGCCGCAAGTTGCTAACCTAATAAAATTAACACTAGAAAAGCCCGCAATGCCGTCTCTAATAGAACAGTAGCTGAAATCGCACTCCATAGTCAATGTAGATAGTTTTAGCGTTAAGAATAATAATTTAAAAAAATATGTGGTCATCTTTTGACAAGTTTATATTAGTTTATTAATTGTAGTAAACATTATGTGGTGTATGGTGTGAATATTTTATATGTAATTTTTTGGATTATATCCGACACTATTTTTTTCATATGACACAACACTGATGAAGGCTATAATGTTACCCGAAACGTTTTTTTTTAACCAAATAAAAATAATGAAAAACCAAATGAAACCTTAATCAGCGTTTTTCCCGAACCTAAATCACAAGAAAATCAAAAATTTTAGAATAATTTTACATATAAAATGACAGCGATCTTTGTTTCATAGCCATCGCTGACGCCTTTTTTTCTATGATATTGTATTATTTGCAAATATAATTTTTCGAACATTGATACTTGCAAAATATACATATAAATTTTGTGAATGCAAATAATAATACATCACTATTAGTAGGTATTGAATGTTTTCTGTTAAATTAGATCGATTTTCAAACCCAAAAATTTAAAATATATTTTCCATTATCTGATTCATTATTTGTATATTTTAAAACATTTGCTGCATTTGTGTTGTTCATAGTTTATTTGCCAAAGTATTTATTACTATAAATAGGTATATGTATTGTATTTATTAACTGTATATTATGTATATTTCATGTAAACTATATCATTTTTAAAATACAATGTTTATGAATGAACATGTATCAATAACAATGTATCATGAATACATGTTTTCTATGTATTCTACAACATATTTATTAATCCGTAGTATCTAACCAGCGTGACGTCATCAATCGCGCTCCCAGGCTGTTCTATTAGAGACGGCATTGGTCTGATATTTAGAAATGTCAAAAGCTGATGACATTTTCCTTTTGGCAATTATGACATTTTGTGTTGATTTTTGCAAGAAGAGGAAGAACTGTCACTTGTTTTATTATTTTCCTTTTCTATTTCACGAAAGTAAAAAGAGTTACCTATCTGATTCGTTCAGGCACTCAGTTTAAAGAATATCAGTAACTTTTTGACAGAGGGATTTTATATTTGCCATGTTGGTAAAAAATATCGGTCAAAATTCAAAGTTATTCATTTTATAGACTATAGTAGGTATTTAGTGCAAAATAAATGTTTTACAAAATATTTTTTTCTCTTTGGTAGTCATCTAAACAAGGAGGGCGGTAATGAAAATGCGTGAGTTAAGAGCTTCTTAACTCACTGACGTAGATAAAAATTGTTAAACCCATTCTTTTTCGGACTTTTCAGACAGAAAAATACAAACAAATCTCTGTATAATTGAGGTCTGTGCCCTCTATAAAACTCAGTTTGGACCAATCCGCATGTAGTATTTACCTTAATACTTATTTCCATACAACGGAAACAAGAATACGCTCGAATTATTCTACTTACACCTCGACTGCCACCTACCCTAAAACTTTCTTATGTCCATTATATTTACATTAAACTTCCACTAGTTCTGAACTTGTAAAACAAGTTTGTTTAATATAATCGTTTACTTTAGCCAAATCCGTTTTATTTTATTTTTTCGGTGTACCTACATTGTTCTATAACTTTAGAGTTCGTCGACAGTGAAATTATGCTTCATTGTGTCTAGAGCAGCCATTTCAAGATTATATCTGTTGCTTTCTTAAAAAACGTCACTAATTCGTCTGCATGAACTATTATAGTTGAAGCAGTAAAAAATAGAAAGTTTCAAGTGGATGCTGGAGTTTTAACAGGGTTTTAACTAACTAAAAACAAAAAAATATCTTTTTCCATAGTAACTGTTAAAATTGCCTTATATCTATCAAAAATAGTAGATAAAATAGTACTTTAACTGCAAGGGTCGATTAAATGATGCTTTAACAGCAAGGATAGGTTAAAAACTTTATTTCTTCTAGCACGTTTTTTAATTGCATCCATTTTTTTAAATTTTTGTATTCCTTTTCATAAGTTATTCGGGATTTAAATGGAAGTAGTTTGGATATGGCGTTTGTCGCCTAAGCCTGAATATTTGTTGTTAATTTACTTATTTGGTTTTGAGCCATTTCTAGCTCCAATTCAATCAGTAATCGACACGAAAGAGAATTAAAAAATATTGACTCAAAACTGACAACTAAAGAAACAGCTTTATTTATTTGTCAAATTACATAGAAACCAACGCCAACCCAGCACAATATTTTTTTTTACTCGTAATAAATTCCCTGAAATAATAATTTCTGAATATTTTTTAAAACTAACTCGCTATGGAGAAAAATATTGTTTTATACACGACGATAAAATTGCATGTTCGTCTCCCGAAATTAATTCACTCGCGATTTCATCGCTCGTGGCACTTTGTTTACCTATTAGTTTTGTTGAACTGCTAGAATCCATTTTTGCTTTTGATAAGATCAGTTTGTGAAGCTGTGAAGCTATAAAATATTGATTCGGGAGAGTTGAATATTCGGAAAAGTTGAGTTATTGAAAGTTATTGCACCCAACAACCACGTAATTAGGTCCTTCTTTACGCGTTAATATTTTTTCGCAATTTAATTAATTTTCGCAATTTAATTAACATTTGAAATGGTATGAACACAACGCGACGCCCAGTTCGAGATCTTTTTCACTTAATTTTACTTGAGTGTTTTATAGTTTCAATAACTGCACTAGTAAAATACTAAAATACTTAAATATTATGACAAAGTCACGATTTCAATATTATTTTAGTGCGATCAACATCAACTGTAAACGGGAAGGCGTGAAATATACAGGATGAGTCTTAAATAAGTGCAAATACTTTCAGGGGTGGTATATTTCGACCCCAGGAATACGTCTATGAGGTCTTTTTCGCAGAAAAAGATGTTGAAAATCGTGTATTTTCTTTTAAATTTCCCTGTACATTTTTCGAAAACTTTTTAGAACTGCCTGTCCACCGCAAATTTTCCCACGGTATAATTTCTTAATCTCTGATATTACCATAGTTACGGATTTATTCCATGGTTACGGCACTAAAAAGGATGCAAATACAGAAAAAATCCGGTGACTCTCAAAATTTTTTCAAAAAAAATCAATTTTTTTTAAAATTTCAAACTTAAATAACTCGGTTATTTTGAACTTATCTGAAAAATGGTCAAGAGAAAATATTTTTCTTTTATCGAGATCTACCAGCCTTGAAAATATTTGCACTTATTTAAGACTCACCCTGTATAACGAAAATTTCTGATTTCTGTCGTATAGAGCGCTGCAGTCGGAATTTTTTGAAATCAACTGAAATGCATCAAGCCTATAGATAAATGAAACTCCAATATTCCAAAGAAACTCTATATCAGCGATTGTCCAAAAACCAATTAGGTTATTATTTATTAATATTACAAAACTTTACCTGTACGGCATGACCACTAGACTGATCGCTATGCTCCAACTGAGAGCACCTCATGAAATAAAACAAGGTTCTCACTGCTTTAGGGCACAGAGGTATTCTGTTCTGCATTCTACCAATTAGTTCTTGGAGTTCCGTCAAGGATCCTACGCAAGTGGTCATTAGAGATGGTTCTGGTATACTTGACGGTCTGCCTGAGTCTCTGCTTGAGCTCCCTACTGAGGAAACTGATGCCCATCTTGGCAGAGCTAAGGCTCCTGCAAATAAGAGCATTATTTTAAACCTATAATGGCATTTCCATATTTAAAAAAAACGGTTGAGAATGGTTGAATTATCTATGAAAAATAAAATTTAAATAGAAAACTTAAAAAAAGCAAGATCGCAAGATCATTGCATGCTAGGTCTTGGTCTTACAAATCTAACACTATAGTGTAGGAAACAGTGAATTTTTTGGTTAAAATTTTTAGATGGGTTCAATAGATAAAAAAAATTGGCCAAGTGCGAGACGAACTCGCGCACAAAGGCCTCCGTACCATTCATTATCTATACAACATTAGACACTATATTATTATAATTTTTTTCCGATTTAGCTGAAATTTTGAATGCGCGTATAAGTAATTTAAAAAAAAATGAAGAAACACATTACTAAAAATTGTATTAATCAATAATAAATATGTAAAAATATGTAAAATTAAAAAAAAAACGATTAAAAAAAGTCGCCTTGACTAGGATTCGAACCTGCCTTACTACGGCTCCAACGTCATAGCAGCGTAAAGTCCTAACGCTTTAGCCACGCGGCCACCGAGGACTTGAAAGATTCTATGTAAAATTTTTACTTAAAAGATAATGTTTAGTGAAAGCACTTTTTTATTTATAAACATTTGTTTAATTCTGTTTTTGGTATTTGTTCTTATAACGGCAACGTAGATACATTATCTGTAAAAATTTCAACTGTCTAGCTATAACGGTTCATAAGATAGAGCTTTGTGACAGACGGACGGACGGACGGACGGACAGCGAAGTCTTAGTAATAGGGTTCCCGTTTTTACCCTTTGGGTACGGAACCCTAAAAACAGATTCACTTGATTTCCCAGTCATAAATATTTGACATTTATTAAAGTAAATCATTTTATTAAAAGAAATAACAGTCTGGCACATCCCAAGTGGAGAAAAGTCAATCTGGCTGAAAATTTGCGGATGCAAAAATTTGACAGATTATTGATATCCGTAACTCTTATTCAGTGGCGGAAAAGGGGGGGGGGGTAAATAGTATAAATCGAAGCAGATATTTACTTAATTATCAATTATCAGGCCCCAATAATTGTCAATGGCATTTTCTATTTAGGAAATTAAATCAAGGGGTAATTATTTTTTATATATTTTGAGACTGAATTTATTTATTTCAGCTTTTAAGTTATTTTTCAATGGTTTCATTATTTATTTTTACTGAATAAACATTTTAAATTACAACCAATGCACAGCATTACTTGTATTCTGGCTTCACTACTGATGATGAGCAGTGAAGTCTTTAGTATAACGGGGGCCACGGGCCTTAGACAGCGAAGGGGCCCCTCGGATCTTGGAAGACTTACAAAATCGCGATATTTTGTCGCGGTATTTCCCTGGAAACATTTTTAAGAAAAAAATATTTAAAATTTTTGGACGAAAAAAAGTACCTGTCAAGAAAATTTGTACGGCCTAAAAGTCAAATTTAGTGATTATCACAGCCCCTGTGACATAAAGAAAAGACATGTGGCTATCTATTTCAAAAATTAAATTGTTTAAATGTCATATAGTAATGGCGGTACCTGTCATGGAATTGAGCGATTAAAAAATTATCATAAATATTTTTTTTTTCAAATGGAGACCCATTTTTTTATTTCACTAGTGAAAAGGTTTTCCAATTCGTTACGTTTTAACTAGACATATTCCTATACCTAAAATAAATCTTTTTTAAGTTATTTAAGATTTAGTTTGAAAACGTATATTTTTCTTGATTTTATCTAGCTTCTTTTTAGTGTCAAACAGTCAGACAATTTATGTCCATCTGTCAGAAAATTAATTATTTGTATTTCCTATATTATAACTACTGCTGCCTTAAAAGTTTAAAAAGTGTATTTATATAAACATATCTCGTATTTTCGTTATTTAGTGATATCTAATAGTTGATATTTTAATAATATACCGTACGATAAAAAAAACCATTTATTTTAGGTACAGGAACATGTAAAGTCAAAAAGTAACAAATTTTAAAAACGAAAGTAATGAAAGCCTTTTCACGAGTGAAATAAAAAAAGTGGATTTCCATTTCCAACAAAAAAAAATGATTTATGATAATTTTTATATATATAATATATATAATCGCTCAATTCCATGACAGCTGCGGCCATTATTATATGACATTGGGACAATTTAATTTTTGACATAGATAACCACATGTCTTCTCTTTATGGTACAGTGGCTGTGGCAATCATTAAATTTGACGTTTAGGCTATATACATATTTTTGACAGGCAGTTTTTTCCTCTAAAAATTATAATTTTTTTTCTCAAAAACGGTTGACGTTAGGTATAGAGTGTTTAATATCAAAATTCATAAAATTTTACAGAGAATATAAGTATGTAATAAAAAGTGGGGTCACCTATTTAAAATAAAAAAGTTGCAGTCAACTTGCGGTACTTCCGAAAGTACCGCCATATTGAAAATATTTTTAATCGATAGATATCATTGTAAAACAATGATATGCACCAATGCACAAATCTCGTATCTAGATATTGTAGTTCTCTAGAAACTTCTAACACAAGCTCAGCCTGGGACATCCTGTATAAATACTTGAATTTTGCTAACCATTCGGTTGACACAACCAACCTCATTCAATTTTTACAAAATGTGCATTAGAAGTATATCATTATCTAAACAGACCGGGGGCCACATTTAGCTTCGCCGCCCCGGGCCCCCGACAGGCTTAGTCCGCCACTGCTCTTATTTTCCCATGCTTGAAATTTAACGATAATCGAACTAACTATAATCAAAAGCAAATCCGGTTGATTTACGAAATTGGCAAATAATGAGCCTGGCAGCACTTTGAAAATTGAAAAAATTACAAAATATTGGCCCTTATTTTCCTGGATTTGAAAATTCGACATAATAAATAATACAATAATTTCAGAAAAAATACACGTCTGGCTGTGATTTACAATCGCGAAAGCCCCGCCAGAAAGGAGGAAAGGATGTGAAAGGACACTCTTCAATTTCGTGATGGTTAACTAAGTTTGTAAACTATTTTATAATTCTTCTCCATTGCGTTCTATTGTGTGCTGCTTCCTCCCACTGATTCGACATGCTTATCCCCTTTAAGTTTTCATGGAAAATATACCTTTTAAGTTGTCCACCCGGTTTCCTCTTACCGTCTACAAGCTCACCGTAAAGAAGAAATGACTGTTATAAACCTTGTCTTTTAATTTCCAGAATGCTCTTGAGGCACTGCTACTAGGCTACTTGCACGTACTTTAATTTTCACCTGAAAACTACTTAAAGACCTTTATAAATACAACACGTAGCACCCCCACGATGTTATTTCCAAAAAGAATTGCAAATTATTTCATAATTTCGATTATAAACTTCACCCGGGACCTTTAAATTTGACGTCACACGAAAACGTTACACCATTGGTTGTGACGTCACGAGGTACGATTTCGGTAAGGCAGTTTACCACAAGCGAATAAAGTCTGCCATTCTACTGAAATATTCGGAAATTTCAGCAACAAAAAAGCAAAGAACCACTTATCAAAAATCACGCGTGCAACTAAGTAAAACTCAAAATCACGAAAAAATGGTTCAAATAAAAAAAATAACCTGAACAGCCCAGTTTGGTCCGAGCAACTGAGTAGACATCATAGACTTTATTCGCTAAATCATTTTACTGCCATTTTACAAAAGTCTTTACATTTTACGTTATTCATAGGTACTATTAGTAATAATACACAAATTTTAATATATTTATTGCTTTCAAGTTATGTAGTTGGTCATATTGTGAAGGGGATTGGCTAGATTCATTATTATACCGTATGATCGAAAAAAAAACGGCGTCCAGTTGGCTTGTAAATGACTGTCGATGATATTCCTCTCAGTCTTTTTTCGATGTCATTTTATATAGTTTTTATGTCATTTTATATATAGAATTATATGGGGAATGTCATCGATCGTCATTTCCAAACAAACAGGATGCCGTTGTTTTTCGATCATACGGTATATATGTATATACACGTTTATAACATATATATTTACATTATTTTTTATTTAATTATACATTATACACACATTAATAAATAAATAATTGTCTTGATGATCAGTTCACTGTGACTGTTAAATAAATTTTGCATTATCGGCTTAGATATTCTAATATTATAAAGGTGAGACTATAAAATACAAAATTGTATATGCATTACTCAAAAATAAACGATATATTAGTTTAATAAACGTTTTAATAAATATTTTTTATCGTCTAGGTACAATTATTTTTGATGCTACACCATTGGAGAATTTCGAGTGGTGACAATTGGCCTCGCTTTCAGCTGCCGTGTTACCTGTCCCCCAAAAAATATACCTAGCTAGAAAAAGAATGGTCTCTGCCATACTGAAAAATGGTCCTACAGAAGTGGCGCCATCTATTGAGTAGGGCTTGTTTTAAATGGATCGAAGCGCGGGCTTTTTAAATGAACTGAATTTATTGAATTTTACTCTAAAATAATTAAATTTGATTATTAAATCTTATTTTTTACACAAATTCAACAATACTAATAACAAGTATCGTTGTGATGTGTAACAGTATAATTTATACAATTATTAAATAAAATTAAAGCCAAACATGTGTAAATATTATTTATTATTGAAAGTTTTTTATTTATAAGTCAAATATTTAAACATCGTTTATTATAATAAAACAAGACCAACGTAATACGCCCAAAGTTTTGTAAATGAAGTAAATATAAATAGGTACTTAAATGATGGCAAAAATAAAAGACTTACATTATATTTTTAGGGCCACAAACAAAAGGAATTGTCTAATTAAAACACATAACAAATTATAGTTTGAAAAACGTTTTGATAATCATTTGATAATATCATGGCTGGGAAACTCAAATGGAAATGACAGTTCATTAAAAATAGTTTTTCCTCCAAGATGCAGAGGCGCAAAATATTAAAACTGTCAATATTAACAATGCAAATGTCAATATCTGACAATAATAAAATTTGAT